TCCCAGCCTTCGAAGAAGACTCCGAGCCAATTTCTGAAAAGAAAGCTCAAAAGCCCGAGACGTGCATAATCTTTGACTGGGAATATTGTATCTACGTGGTCTGGCGCGTTCCACTGGCTGATAACCCTTTGCAGTTCAGAGGCTTGCATTGGGGTTTGGGCATCAGGGCTTACGCTGGAATTCTACGACTGAATCAAGGCACCTTTGGTGGGATTAGGTGGCGGCGTTGCAATTCCCTAGAGCTTGCTGAAAGGCTCTTTCGGGAAGAACTTCCTCTCCCGGACCGGGAGATTGGCACAGAGTATTACGAATGGGTCCGAATGTAGGTGACACTGCCTACATAAATTTTGCTGAAACTTTTGAAGAGCCAAGATGCAGAGAGGTTCTAGTCGTAGGGATCGAAAACAGCTGGATTCGAGTTTTGGTGAGGGCCAAAAGGCTATCAGAGATAGCCAATCACTTTTCGCATTTCGAGGTAGACGGCAAAGTCTTTTTTGTAGCCGAAGTCGAACTTCATCAACTGAAAGCCTTTGGTGTTTCAACTGTTCTGAGTCTGGCAACAGGGTCAGAGATGTTGATTTCGAAAGCAAAGGAGTTGGAGGAGAGCGGTTCAGAACTGATTTATGCCACAGCCTCAGATCGAGAGGTGAGGCCTCCCAAAAAGGCCAAGTTTGGTCGCAAGTCCGAAGTCCTGGAATCGTCAGAATCAAACAACAGCAGCAGTGGTTCGGAGGATCTAGGGATTCTTTCGAAAGCAGCAAAGTCATGGCACGTTGGGGATATCAAACGAGAAAAGCAAGAATCAGCGCCAAGCAAATCAAAGAGTCGTTTTGCCCTTCTGGAAAACAGCAAAAAGAGAGAAGTCAAGTCCGAAGTGGAACAATTGACCAATCCTGCACTTCTGCTCAAACAGTTGAAAGGAGGTCAAGATCCACTCCAAACTCTCCTCGCGCTCCAGCTTGCAGAAACGCTGGGAAAGAAGTCCAAGAAGAGCAAGAAACGAAAAAGCAGCAGTTCTTCTCGAGATGCAGAAAGTTTGGACGACAGTGCGTCCAGCAGTGGGTCGTCAAGTCACCGCAAGCGAGGACATGCTCGCGCCATAGAATCTTACCAAGGTTCTCGGAAGCGGATGTTCCGCAAGCCTCTTCGCTATGTGAAGCTCTATGTGAAGGAGGTGGAGAAAGAGTTGGGGGCGGAAGACCGTCCTTACAAGCTGTCCGAATATGGCCGGAAAGTGCAGTGGGGGAAACAGCGCTCACTGCAGCGATGCCATTTCATGCTCAGCGAGATTCTCACCCGGCTTCTGAAGGGGCAAGTGGAAAAAGCTGCGTTGCAAACAGTGCTCTGTCTGAGAAGCATCCATCAAGCCGCCATCGATGGAACGTGGGACATAGCCTGGCTTTTGACTCATCTGCCGGATCCATGGACAAAACCTCAGTGGGGAGGCAGTGCCGAGGAATTGGGGTATGTGACCAGCTACCTCAAATCAATGGCAGAGCTGAACAAAAATGCCGAGAAAGCCCGCTTCTCCGCTCAGGGAAGTGCAGATCGAGGAGAGGGCGAAGCCGCTGTCCCTCCCAAAAAGGGAAAGGGAAAGGGCAAAAGCCGCGACAAGGAGAAGGACAAGCCGAAGGAGGAGGCAGGCCACGACTGAGTGTGGCCACTGATGAGCCTAAGACAGCGCCTGCGAAGCCAGTCGCCTTTAATTCAGTTCTGAGGGCACTTGAGAGCAATCATGGTTCCTTTAGTCGTTTTCTCAGATGTTTGCAAGTTAGATCCAATGAAGGGTCGGGGCCTAGGACACCTTCATGCAACAACACGAAGGTAGGTGAACTTTTTCCGTCCTTGCTAGTAGTGCCTCCCATGTGCATTGCTCAGAGTTCTCGTAGGAACTGTCGAGGACGAGGCCGGGTAGCTACTTGGTCCTATGTTGAAGTGTTATGGAACCTCTTCAATTTTTTGGAAGGGTTATGCCCTTTTAGTGAAACAGACCAAGTACGGTTGGCCGACAGAGCCTCGTCGGCCTCCTGGACTCAGATGCATGCTGAGTACGCCGGCTTTTTGCATGACCAAGTTCACCAGTTTCTCCGCCTTAGAAAGCCAGAGCCTCTAGGACGCGGAATGGCACAACTCAATGAATTAGTGATGTCAATTAAGAATTCACAATATAAACCTGGACCTTACACAGTAGACGAGCTGATGACGGTAGCTAAGCATGTTGAGCCCGAAAGGATGTCTCTCCCTGAAATCGGAGGCATTCTAGACCCTGTAGATCACTTGAAGGGTCATAAGAAAGAGTTGTTCGAAAACATGGTAGAACATGTCCCACATAGTGACATTCCTGAAAAGAAAGTAAAAGGTTGTTTCAAAATCAAACCCGAACACATAGTGCCGGTGTATGAAAAACTCCTAGATTCGCAGGTAGCCGTTCTCTTGCCTGTGTCCATGGCCCTCAGAGACGAAACTGGCAAAATCGTTTCTGGGGGCCTTTTCGCAGTTCCTCATAAGGAACACACTGACCGAGTGATTTGTGACAGGCGTCCGCAGAACCAGTTAGAGAGACGACTTGTCTGGGCAAAACTTCCACATGGTGCACTACTCACACAAATAATAGTTCCCCCTGGCCACACCATTCGTGGTTCGGGTGATGACTTATCAAATTACTTCTATCTCTTGAAGCACAGAGAAAGCTGGTTGCACCGCAATGCCATAGGTAGCCCCGTTTCTGGTAAAGACTTCTTGAAGTATGGATGTGATCCCAAAACCAAATATGTGTTGTGCTTTCGTGTTATTCCAATGGGTGACACTAACGCTGTGGACATTGCTCAGGAAACTCATCTCCAGGTCCTCCAGGACGCAGGGTGCATGCAGAGCTCAGAGGTCATTGCGTATCGAGACTTGCTTCCAGCCAGCCACTGCTGGGAAGGACTTTATATCGATGACCACATCGTGATGCAAGTACTCCCCAAAAAGAAGTTACGTAACCCCAAACAAACATTCCGGGATGATGAGATCCTTAAAGCAAGTAGGCAGCAGTATGAACACTTAGGCATTCCCACTTCAGATAAGAAAGCTTTCACCCATCAACCTAGTTTTACGGCTTGGGGTACCCATGTTGAAGGATCCACTGGTAGGGTAGGCACCCCTCGTGAGAAGCTTGTCCAGTTGTCTGAGTTGATAGTCCAAGTCTGTTCACTAAAAAAGGTCAGTAAGAAATTGCTGCAGAAAACCCTAGGGTTGTTGGTTCACCCATCCATGCACCAAAGACTGCTGATGTCCTTGCTGCAAGAAGTGTACCTCTGGGTTGAAAAATTAGACGACTCAGAAGCCCGTCGTCTGCCTGCAGCAGCAAGAGAGGAGCTGCTCATGTTTGCGCTTTGTTTGCCCTTATGTCACTCTAATATCAAATGGCAAGTCAGCCCTAGGGTAGGTGCCAGTGATGCATGTCTAGATGGTGGGGGTAGAGCTGCCACTTTGACCGACCAGAGCATTGCTGAAACGTTGTATAGATATTCGGAACATAAGGGTGAACACGTTCGACTTGACTGGGAGAAAGGGCGTTTGGCCCCTCCCTCCGACATGGTAAGTGCTCCACAGGAGTTAGAGGACCTCATGGCTGCCCATGTTTGGAACACCACTCAGCAGATAAAATTCGGGCACAAACAGCACATCAACATACTTGAACTTAAGATGATCAAAGAGGAATTGAAAGACTTAGTGAAGCAGACAACCGCTCCCATGCGTGCTGTAAACCTAGTCGATTCACGTGTAGCAGCAGGAGCATTTGCCCGGGGTCGCTCGTCATCAAAACAGCTGAACCGCATTTTGCGGTCTATGATAGGTTGGAGTTTGTGTGGTCGTAAAAGTCTGCACCTGGTTTGGGTTAGGTCAGAAAGAAATCCCTCGGACCATCCTTCCCGAGCTTGCAGAATACCAGAACCAAAAAATGATGAAACAATACGTAGGATTTTTGGGGCACCCAGGCCCGAGTTGCAGACTCGCAAGTCCAACCGAAAGATTTTGAAGCAGGCTGTCAATTTCGTAAGCCGTGACGGAGCTCCGTCGTCCGAGAGCAAAAAGGCAGGACCGAATCACCCTGCGATGAGCCAGTGGACATTCAGAGAGATATTTGCAGGTTGTGGTAGGCTCAGTAAGACATTCTTGCATGCTGATTGTTTCAACGTTGGTTCACCCCTAGAACTTATCCAAAAAGGGAGAGAATCTCCTGAGCATGACTTGCTTAATGACGACACGTTCCATAAGTTGTGTGCCGATGCTGCCAAGCCAAGACAGATTTGGCATTTTGGGTTACCATGTAATAGTTTCAGTTTGATGCAAAACATGAATCATGGGACTAGAACCAGTGACCACCCTGAAGGAGCTGGGACACTTGCACGTGAAATCAGGGGTAATGAACTTGCTCGACGCACCTTCTTGTTGTGTACCATATTGCATGCCAGTGGCAATTTCTTCACCATAGAAAATCCAAAGACATCTTATGTTTGGAAGTTGGATGCTCTGTGTGAACTAGTTCGCAAAACCTCTGCAGTTAGAGTCAGCTTCGATCAGTGCGAATATGGGTTAAAGATTCCCCTGAACGATACTTGCATCGGACTCGCTAAAAAACCCACAACTATAGTCGGAACTTTGCCAGGGCTGTTGTGCCTGCAACGCAGCTGCTCAGGCCATCATGATCATGTTCATGTTATAGGTGGTGTAAAGACAGCACAAGGATGGAAGAAGAGATCCACTTTAGCCGGGGCATATCCCCCTAGGCTATGTCAAACATACCACAAGTGCTGCATTCGCATGTTTGCATGAGGTCCAGTTCAGTTCAGTTTTTTAAGCATGAATTAGACTGCCGTAGTTTTTTGTTTGCACATCACTTCTGCATGTTGGCAAGTAATGCCTGCCAGTAAAGTGGCTGGTATCAGATTGCGGTTGGCGCGCTTCAGCGCTCCCTATCGACAGAGACTGACTGAGAGTGGAGCATCGTTTTGTGGCTTTTTGCGTGAACATCAGATCAGCACAAAGACACTGGAGAAAGGCTCAGCTCAGCTGCTGGATCAACTGTTAGACGAGTTTGTGAATCATCTCCATCAGCACAGATCCAGACGAAAGGGAATCCTTCGTGTAGCCAAGCATGCCATACTTTTTGTCCAAACAGTCAGACCCGATGTTCGAGGTCTGTTGAAAACATGTTGGACCACTGTTAAAGCCTGGCAAGAGCAAGAACCTAGCCAACTTAGAGCGCCAATGCCATTAGTGTTGATGATGGCCATGCTTTGCAAAGCAAGGCTTATCGGCTTGAACGCTGGACCTGGTGCCAATCAGCAAAAGTTACTCGTTTTCAGTGCTTTGACCGGGCTTGCCTTTTTTGGTTTGCTTAGACCTGGTGAGTTGTTGAACTTGACCCGCGAAGATGTCGAGATCCCTAACCAGCTGTCACTCGGCTTGCCTTGTGTGACGGTCAGAATCCGAAAGCCAAAGAATTTCCGTCAGCTTGGGCATGCTCAGTTTGCCGTAGTCAAACAACCTGATATATGTAACTGGATAACTTGGGTGTATGAACATGCTAAGCCAGGTCAACCCCTTTGGCCTCATGGTGCAAGTGCTTTTCGTGCTCTCTTTAAACAGGTCTGCACTAAGTTGTTGAAGCAATCCCATTCCTTTAGTCCAGCTTCACTGCGAGCCGGTGGTGCAACCTTCATGTTTGACCAATGCATGGATGTGGGGCATTTGAGACTCGCAGGTCGGTGGGCTAGTCCGCAGTCACTTGAGCATTACATTCAACAAGCAAAAGCACAGCAGCTTGTGTTACAGATCCCATTAAAGGTTAGTGAGCGCATTCGCACTTTGATCAGCAAAGGATATTTCCTGCTAGCTTTGCCAGACAAACTGGCTGAACCCTTGAATTTTGAATCACTTTTATCCCATGGACTTGGCTGCTTCCTCCGCGCAGAACCCCTCTGGAAAGTCTGCAGGAGGTGGGGAAGCCTTGCGGAAGAAGTTTAGAAAGATCTCCATTGTCGGTGGAACTTTGAAAGGAGCACACTACGGTGACGTCTCGGAAACCGATCTGAGAAAAGCTGCTAAATCCTACAGAGGGGATCCCAGATTTGCCCAGTTTTGTAAACAGTGGGTGGCTGCCGAAACAGTGGCTCCGGATGACGAGCCCTCCTGCCTTGGACACCAGAGTGCCAATTCAGTCCCTACAACCTCTGTCAGCTTGACTTGGAAAGCTTGGGGCTACCAATTCGTCTGCAATTTTGGACGATGGACGTATGGTAAGTGCAAAGGACGTTGGATTTCGGCTTTTTTCGCCTTCAGTTTCTTCATGCTGGTGATTTCCCGACCAGCGTTTAGTCGGTTATGTGGTCGACTTTTGGGCATCACCATTAGGTTAGCTTTTCGAAGAGGTCTCTATCTGCTCACTGTTTTGGTAGACTCTATTTTAGATGAAGCCGCATACCAGATGGAAACAACACTTCTTCCAGTGCCGGAGCAGATTCCTGGGACTTTGTTCCCCAACCCTCAACAACACCAAGTTGCCGAACTCTCATACTCATCATGGTTTTGGCATTTCTTTTGTGTGGCCTTTGGCGCAGTTCTCGGGAGATATGGGCGAGGGGCTCAACCTTTTGTCCGCATTCACCCTTGACTGGAACAAGTTTGCGCTGGAAAGTTTGGTGGTTTTGGGGGTCTCTTGGTGCATCAGCACCATCGAAAATCAGCTGATTTTTGCAATCTCGATACCTGGCAGTTCGATCAGTTCGCATTGCTTGCTAGCCTTGGATTTGACAAGGCCACTTCACACTCATTTCAGGCGTGCCCCAGAGAAAAAGAGGGCGCGGTGAGCAGGCCACAGAGTGCAATCAACACATATATATATGTGTATGTTCGCCGGATTTTATGCAGAGTGAACTTATAGCAGTCTATTTATTATACCTATGGGAGTGGTTTGTCCATCGAATTGCCACCGATGCGAAAAACAAAGGCCCAAACGGATGAAGGGCTCAAGGGTTCATGTCGTAGGCGTGCCTCAACATGACCGCCTCCAACCGCGAGCAACTCCATTAAGGATACGTTAGAATGTGTTAGAAGCACAAAATCAACAGAATTGCCGGTTGGTTTGCAGTAGATCGTGTTCATTCAAGCAGCATCTTGTAGATATGTCTATATATCATAAAAACTTGGGAGGAGTCATTTTTTGAAGTCCTACATCCCCGAAATATCCCGAAATATTGATATCTACAACCCACATGTTAAACTTCATTTTTTTTTCAACCCCCAACAACTTGCAGGGTCCCTGCACGGATGGGATGCCTTGGCAGGTCGTGCCAGCTTCAGAGTGGCAGAGCCGGGCGAGCGACCCTTGTGGCGCCTTGGCTGTCAGCGACCGTGCCAAAACAATGGGGACGTTTAGCAACCAGTTCAATAGGGATGTAACGGAAAAATATGGAACAATATAGAAAAATCTGGAAACGGGTTATATGACTTAGTAACTGGTTAGTAACTGTCGCTATGCCCCATTTGCAAATGGGATACCCCACGGAATTGGGACTTGACTTAACCAGTTGCGAAGTGGGGTGCTCCTCCAAAAACAGCGTTTATTGTCAACATCGACATAGATCGATGATGATTAACATGTATGGAGAAGTATCCTAGCATCACCCAACATTTCAGAAAAAAGAAACCATTTTTTTAATAACCACATCTTTATAGAAACTTAATGTCATTCCGGTAATGAACAACCAAGACCTGAATTTAAGGTGTTCGACCTCCCATATTTTGAAGACCTGAGGTTAACAACCACACCCTCTGGAGATATTGGTTTGATCGCCAAAGGACCGGCAGGGAAGGTGTGTTGGATAGGTCGGTAGCTCTTTTCTTCCACACATATGGAGCATGTGGAGGAATTGATCAGTTTCCAGCTGAAATGATTTGTTTGATTTGTTTGATGGGTACCTAAGATGATGGCCAATGGTTTCACAAAAGTGCCCTTTGGAAACTGTGGCAATTTGACCTGGCAATGGAAGATGAACAGTTGAACAGTTGAACAATGTTGAACACATGGAGGTCACTGGAAAAGCCAGGGCCAAACGAAGTGGATATGTGTCATGTCATGGTGGCGCCACGGTTATAAGGTTGACTCTTCAGGAACTCATCGTTGCCACAGCCATCAGGAGATGGCATGGCAGAGCCGGCCACGCGCTTTGTGGTGCGCCCATAAAAACGAGCTGACTGAGGGTTTGAGCTGCCAGCAATTGCAGCAACGAAACATTAAATGGATTGTCTATTGTCTTCCTTGGGGGCTCATGGATTTTCAAGAACATCCTTCTTGAACCTATTAATATTATATATTATACATGTCATAGACTTGAACAAAAATGCACATCATGCAAATGTGTTTTGTATGACTACTACATGACGGGTAGACATGTGAAGGCAACTTCCACATTTTGGGTTATGGATAGCCTGCCTACCTGTAGCGAAGTTCCAGGTGCAAAGCCCCACCGCAAGCGCAGTGCTGTCGGGCATGTTCGTACCGGAGACCCAGTGGTGCTTTCGGTACATGGAAACGCGTTCCTGGAAACGTAAGTGGTTCAGAACCCTGGTAGAACTCCATCTACAACAAACATCAACAAACCGAGATAAGTCCCCAAGTTGATAATTCAGACAGCTGGGCAACCCGTTTCATCATTTATAACTTCTAACCGTGATATGTCGCAATGCTTTTGGGTGATCATGAACTTACTACTTGGGATCTGCACCCAAGTAGAATGCTGTTTGGCCACGGGTATGATGACATTTAGCAACAAGGAGGTTTCCACCCTCATTTCCGCTGATGAGAAACTATATCAAGCTTGCACCCTTACGAAACACACTTTTCCATTACAACTGTGTCATAGTCTCCAAGTAGTAGTTGCATCAACCCATTTCAAATTCAACAAATTACAGAAATTCACCATGTACACATGGATTAAAATTATTGGCCCTTCAAATTGATGGGTTTATGTACTTACTGTAGATGTGCTTACTTATTGATGACCTGTGGGTCACCGATCAAGTATACACCAACTGCCGGCCATAGGCGACCCAGTTTCAAAGTCATGTTCCCACCACCGCACGAGCACATCTCTAGATGTCACTTCCCACTGTGTTGACATTGTTCAAAAGATATGCACAGAAGGGGTTGCTGCACGCTAATTATGATATCATAGGTGAATCATAGCCATGTCATAGCCACAAGAAACAATGTTATTTTACCTCTCCATTAACCAATGTTTTTCACACCTGTGTTCGTGGTGTTTGGAGCAGCCCAACATGATCCACGGTGAAGCACCTTGGAGTTTTTTGGGGGCCACCTCGGCCATGCTTGGAAGTTGTTTTGGAGGCCCATATTTCATCTTATGGGGGTTGAAATCCCCGAGTTACTCATCAAATTTCATGAACTATATTTGAATATCATCAGGCATTCAGCCAGGAAAACAACCCACAACTAACAGCAACTAACATCAACTAACCCACATTTTTCAGTCATATTCTGGCCATATTATATCGCCATAAGTTTCACCTTGGCAGCCTCGGCCAAGGTCCATCTGAAGTCCATGTCCACTGGGAAACTCATGGAAGTGGACGGCGCGGACGTCAAGGCTCGCAGCTCCCTGCAGGGCACGCGGCAGCGGATTTTCGTCCGGGACGCAAAGCGGGAGGAAGGGGCAAGTGGAGCGGATGGAGAGGTAAACATATTGTTAAGGGACATAGTATAGTATTATATGGCATAGTATGCTAGTACCTTGGATGGTTTTGCAGCCACACACTTAGAAACTTGGTAATCTGGTTGGTGGTTTGGAACATGTGTTTATGTTCCATATATTGGGAATAATAATCCAAACTGATTAATATCTTTCAGAGGGTTGAAACTTGAAACCACCAACCAGATATTGTTAGGGGACATAGTATAGTATCATATGGCAAAGCATGAAATTATGTAATATATAGCCATGATGTGGAAGTTTGACTGGCACTTGTTTGAATATAATGTTAGTATATTATGATATATAGTCATTATATAGAATGTTCATTGGTACTTAATAGACACTCACAGTATACCATGTTAGTATTGTTATGATAGTATGATATAGTGACATAGTATTTTAGTGCTATAACATACCAATCAAAGTAAATAATGTTAGTATGATATAGTGATATAGTATGATAATTACGATATATCATGATTGACCATTTGATATTTATGATTAACGAACCGGATGACATGATAATTATACTGATGAATGATGTGAACTAGTGAACTAATTGATGGTTTGAATGACGAAACTGGATGTATTGGTACAAGATAAAATCACTCAAAATTTGCTTACCATATGGCTAGCCACAAATGACTGGCCACAAATTTGTTGTGGGAAGATTTTTTGGGATGATCCTTGAAGTCCCGGCATCCCTTGTGGGTGAAAACATTGGGACATGTCCAATAAAGGCTAGGTAAGACAATAGGTATATGGTCAAAAAAATGAAGCCATGGGACTGCAGATGTTGTGATTGGAAAACGTTTTTTTCGGTCTTGGAATGTCCTGGAAGTCTACTTTTCCTAGTGCTGCAACATTTCCGTGTTTCAACCAGCAATTTTTGGTCGTGTAATGGCAGTGATATCGGGGTGCCCATCACTTCAGGATGGTGATGCTAGCTGGTAGTGGAACATCGCCCTGTTCGAACATCTTAAGTAGGTTTTTCTGTGAACCTTTCTGTTTACAAGAGCCTGCATAAGGGATGCATCACAGATTGCCCTATCACACTTTGCCCACTTGCAGCTGCAGCCATGAGGAAAGAGTCATGCCCATACGCCCGAACCAATCTTACAAACATCCTGTTTCCAAACTGGAAACCAGCAGGAATGGTTTCCCCAGCGGGATCAAACCCTGTTTGATTTGGACTATTTTGGGACCTGAATAATTGAAGTGAGCACATCATTCATCATTTTGTTTGGGGGGAGAGCCCTCCCAGAAGAAGCACCAAAAGAATGACAAACATTGACTCGGTAAATGGCAGGATAAACAACAACTACTACAAATAGTCCTCCCCCCAACGAATAGCTATCAATAACATCTCGTCAGTTTTTGGGCTGGAATATAATTTATTCAAAAATCATAATCAGCCATTTATGAATGTATGCGTCATAATCAATCATATACCCAATGCATATGTACCAAGAGATATTATCATGTACTAATTACTAACATTACGTGATAAACTGTGCATTTTTGGGGGCTGGAAATCCCTCAAAAGTCATCCCTCCCAACATCTCCCGCCATGACGTCCGTCCGCGGTCCCCTACCATCGGCCCTGGCCACGGCCGCCTACCGCGCCGCGCTGGCGTTGGATGCCAAGACTTCCGACGGAGCGGAGGAGTTGCTGAGTGCCGCGGTGCGGTGCTGGTGTAGCTGGTTAAATGATGGTTAATAGTGGTTAATAGTGGTTAATAGTGGTTAATAGTGGTTAATAGTGGTTAATAGTGGTTAATAGTGGTTAATAGTGGTTAATAGCGGTTAATAGTGGTTAATAGTGGTTAATAGTGGTTAATAGTGGTTAATAGGGTATAAACCAACAACAATGAGTGGTTAATATTGGTTCCAGGAATGGCGGTTGCTGTTTTTCTGTTTTGAGGAGGTCTCCAAGCAAGACCCAACATGCGGTTTAGAACCCAGAAGATGATATGTCACAACTGTCGACTGGGTGAAAATGGGTTTTCAGGCGAGGTGGGATAGAACCATCAGAAAGGACTGGGTTTGAACAATTGGCAATTGGCCCTGAGAATGCCAAAATTGCCAAGAATCAAGGAAAGCATCGTGGTTTAAGGGTTCATGTGGGATCTGAGGGAGATAGGAAGAGGCTTAGTAAGTGTCTGGAACAGCACGCAATTTGGCCAAGTTCTGTTGTTCATGATCCATCCCTTCAATGAATGTTCTAACAACATCCAACCGTTCCCAAACCCATTAAAATTAGATAGGAATATAGGAGATCAGTTTACAGGTAGTTCCCAAACCCCTACCAAAAAAACACACAAGACAAACCATATCAGTTAACAAACAACTATCAACTTGCCATGTTCTGTTACCATTTCTGTCCATTTCAGCCCTTCATCCTTCAGCCCAGGTGAGGTCTCACAGCACCTGGAGCGCATCACCGTGGCGGTGCTCAGCCAGGAGCTGCTGACGAAGAGCGCTTTGGAGATGGCGCTGCTGCCCATCCTCCAGGGGACCTGGGAGGAGGACAGGGAACCCCTGGGGCCCCTGGGGGTCTGAGTCTCTGGCAGTTCACATCAGTTACTTACCCTCTGGTTATGTCAAAATAGCTATTGAAAATTGCCATTTATAGTGAGTTTTCCCATTAAACATGGTGATTTTCCATAGTTGTGTTAGTTTACCAGAGGGTAAATGATTCAACATGAGGAACGAGAATAAATCAACTTATATAATTTATATAGTTTTATATATACCTGGGAAATATCATGAAATATCATGAAATATCAACTTTTCACCCCCACATCCAAAAAAAACATGTTTAAAAAAATCATGGTTTTTCCCCCATCCTTTGGAAATCCGCCAGCCAGGCCCGGGCGCGGCACTTCTGCGACGTTTGCTGGGCCGCCGCCGCCAAGGCCGCGCTGCGCAGTCCGGCGCCGGCGGCGCCGCCCACGGAGGCGGCGCAGAAGGCCATGGCGGCGATGGCGGAGCACCACGTGCCTTGGGCCATGCGGCTGGTGATGGCTGGGGGGAAAGGATTGAGTGCTTTTTACATACTCTTTCCTGTTTTTTTTGTTCCATGTATTTTATGATAATTAGTGAAGATATTCAACATATTCAACATCGATTATTGACATGTAATTTATAGTTCAAGGGCACCATAAAAGATGCATATTGATCAAGATAATATAGTCAAATGATGTCACATGTATAGTTCCACCAGAAATTCTGATGAGTTGATTGGAAGATCATTTGATATCCATGGTGAAGGTTGGGTTGCATTCACCATCCCAGTTGCGCCTTCAAGGCTAACGAGTTGATCAAGGAGGAGCTCAGCTCCTCCGCCCCGAAGCGGAAAGCTAAGGGACGGCCTGGACCAAAAGCAGCTCAGATGCAGTGGTTCATCGACTTTTTCATGTTCAGGAGGGTGGTGCCTCAACCACCTGCCAGTTGTTTGTTGTGCCATCTGGTTATTTAACATAGCCATGGAAAATCCCTTATAAATGGAGGTGTTAATTGGAGAATCATCCATGGCTATGTTAAATAACCAGAGGGTATATGGTTGCAAATCGTAAATAATCCTTTTCACAAACTACCAACAAACATCAAAAAGATGCAATCATTCTCCAAAATTGACTCTTTCACATTTATTGGATGTGTTAAAACCAACTTAGCTAATAACTATCACCTTCTAGTCAGTGGGTTATAAACCACGCCACCATACATATATATATAACCTAATTATAATCCATGATAATCGATTTACCCCATAGGTAGCCAATGAATCCACTAATCCGCTCCTGGTTGCCACTGCTTTCTCGGTGAGGCAAAGCCGCCCACGCCGCCCCCGCCAGAGGCGGAGGCAGAGTCGGACAGCAGCAGCGAGCTGAAAGTCCGAGATCAGAGCGGCTTGGACGGCTTGGACGGCCTGCTCCAAACACCCCGAACAACTTTCGGGTGTGAAAAACATGGTGAATGGAGAGGTAAAATAACATGTTTCCCTTGTGGCTATGACATGGCTACGATTCACCTATAATTAATATCATAATTAATGTCAACCCCGGATTAATAAACCATGGTTTATTAATTAGGGGGGTACTCCTCCAATAGTCATGATCTGATACTTAAATGGTACCCTCCCAATTAAGCAGCCTAGGGGTTTATTAATCCAGGGTTGACATTATAGCAACAATATCAAGTCCATGGGAGGGAAAGATATATACTTGGCATATATCTCGGGAAATACCGTGAAAATATATCCAAGGATATGTTATATCTGATATCTTAGGATATTGTTGACAATTGAAGACACAATACCACGGTATACCACAGGCATAATTAAATGAACATTTAAACGGATAATTAATCGAAATAGTGTGTAGCAATCACAAACTAGATATGTTTCCCCATTAAGCGGGATTGATAACCCCATATGGGCCCCATATGTTCCATGTGAAGTATATTTAGGTAGACCATTTGGATCCATTTGGGTAATTGTTGGGGTTAATTTAACGTTGTCAAAGTCCGGCTGAACAACTGAACTTTGTTCAGGGTGGTGATCGAAGAGAAATGTAGATCATACTGAATTAAACTTGACTTAATGATTTGGATAGGTGTTGAAAGGTGATGAAAATAAGCCGACTTGATATTGCCAGGAGGTAAACCTACTTTATGCACCTGTGTTTGGACCTTCCCACATCTGTTTGTCGGAGTTTCCGGGTTTCAGACATGACCCTCTGAAATGTGGCTTATTTAGTTTTAAATCATCAAGATCTAACATATCTAACGCATCCAGATATCCCCACCCTGCCCTGCAATTTCCACCCGGGGTTTTCCTGCGGTGGAGGTAATTCGTTCAGCGTCTTCCAAGACGTCAAAGACGACTCCCCGATGAACGCGCTGAGCGCCACGGGGCGGAAGGCGACCGTGCGCGATCGGTGCAAATGGACAGCACCTTGGAAGTGGCCATGGTGATGGTGATGGTGATGGGGGCTGATTCAATCATAGAAGGTAATGGATGTTATATATATATATATATGATGTTCAGATGATGTCATATCGATGTTACATCATTGGATTTCATGGGAGCTAGGGGCATTTCATGGCATCTCATTGGCGTTGCTTAAGGTGTTTTTTTTAATGTTCTCAGTGGATGAATCTTGGCGATGGCGGTTGACGACACACACTTTTGCCCACCAGCAATGGTGAGTCTTAGGATGCCCAGAAACAAATGAATAATAGAATGCAATGGAACATCACTTGGAATCCAAGCCTCACCATCTTCAGTATGTTTTTTGGACAATCTTATTAGATTCCATTCGAGAGATTGCGGCTTGCAACCCCACCTGTGCGGCAAACAGAAGTTGCTGATGGCCTGATGGCCCCAATTCATGAGGTCACATCACCAACATCCCTTAGAACTTCATCATAACCATGCCACCCAGCAGTGTTATTGATTGGATGTATAGGAATGACAGGCAAGAAGATCAGCAGCTTCAGAAGGAAAGACCTGCAGCCATTCATGACCTGCAGGATTTTTTTTCGGGTCCAATGCCAGAAAAGGATCGTGAAAATTCGCAGAAGCCACCACCCCTGGCGTTTTTGGCAAATAAAAAACCCGGTGTTAATCCATGTTCAACCCAAAACCCTGGTTTTCGACGGGTATAACCTTCACCTTTCCAAAACCATCCCCCACATCCCCCATGGCGGTTTTTGTTGGGTAACCAGGTGCTGATTTTCTCCGGCGAATCCGTCGCTTCCCCCGAGGTGAAGAGCTACAAGGACGGCCTGGAGACGACATGGGACGTCTTGGAGACGGACGGCCACCTCAACAGCATGCGGATCGTGGGACGCTACGCTGGGGAGATTGGGGTGTGGAGAACGTCAAAGAAGGTGACTGATCTCTGATATATGGGGCTTTTTATCAGGGTATGAACCATGTATATAAACCAAAGTACAGTACCAAAAAAAGGTGAACAATACTTATGGACTTACAGCTTGCTTTGAGTGGGATTAAATATGCATTTCATTCCACGCAAGAAGATGGACACTAGATGGTGATGGTTTGTTTTCATTTGAAGGGGGGTTGTTACAACCAGGGCCGTGAACCTCTTGCTAGATGTTACTACAAGGTGGGCCCCCCGTAGTTATAAGCTGCTTTACAATTTATAACCCCATTTACTATAGTTGTTGCCATAAATCCATATACATCCTAGTTATCGAAGTGATAAACAAACTTTTATCTAGGGAGCATTGCCTTGAAGTATCTCGCAGTGCCATCAGCTGCAAGCCGAAGGAAAGGAGTCCGTCTCCAACGACACCAGCTGCGCACAGCGCACCCAGCGCGCCGGTCCTTCGGAAGGCCGGGCAAAGTCCGGGCACTCGACGCTCGGCAGGGGGCGAAGAGAGGTGGGGGGTGGAAGGAACCCATGGAGTGTTGGTGTCTTTAGGGTGATGTTGGGGCATTTTCCCAATGGGAAATCTACTAGAAAATGGGGAATTCTGTAGGATTTCTAGGGATTCTAGGGCAGATAATTTTTATAGTTATACTTTTTGGAGCCCCTTGAGAGCAAATCATGAGGATATTCGCATAGAATAAATATGGCGCCCCCAAGATGGAGTGGGTCGTTTCACCACTTCACCCGCAAGTTCTCCCTTCTATTAATAGACACACCTCAAGAAACCTAGTCTTTAGTAAAATATAGTTAAGTTTGTTTTTTTTGTTCTTTCTTATTTTGGGTGACTTGATTTTTCCAGATGGGATATCCCATCATCAAACCTCCATTTATTCCATTGAGATACCATATAATATAAAATCACCTTAAAATCCTTTGAAATTTAAAAAATATGTATCCCACAATTCCCATTAAATATCATTAAATATCATTAAATATCATTAAATATCATTAAATATCATTAAATAGCATTAAATATCATTAAATATCATTAAATATCATTAAATATCATTAAATATCATTAAATATCATTAAACCCCATTAAGTCACCATAGAATTCTTTAAAATCCCATTAAATCACTATAATTTCATATTAAATCCCATGAACAACATTTTTTTGCATGCTTTTAACTCTCCCAAGATGTTGGAACCGTTGGAACCGTTGGAACCTGTGGAACCGAACATCGGCAGCTAGGACCTTGTCCTACTCCGAGACGGCGGAGGAGGAACACTCCATGATGCGCACCGTCTCCAGCGGCACAGCGCAGCGGTTGTTTGAGGACTCAGTCGTGCGGTTGGAGGTTGTTTGGTATCGTAACCTGGGGGTAGAAACCGGCGGAGAGTATCAAATATCATTGTATGATATGGTGATATATTTGCATGTACTATAATTACAAATCTACATTGTCTACATAATATATGTAATATGTAATCGATATCGTATGGACAACACCTGGTTGGGTGCGTTACATTTTCATTTTGACATTTGACAGTATTATCTAACAAGGATTAGCCATGACGATCTCAGAGTCCTTGCGGGCAGTCCTGTGTCCACCCACTTCCAACGTTCTTGCCAATGCGCTCGTGATTCCTATGGCTGTTTTTTCAGCGAGATCTACCCTCCATCATTACTATCTATTTATTTAACATATAGCTATGGAAAATGGCTGATGAAAATTGTGATTTTCCGCAGCTATGTTAGGGTAACAACTTCATGAGGAACATCAAATCTTTATAAATATAAATATATATATATATACTGTAGTCTTTTTTGTTCTGGGAAACTATGTGTTTTCCACATTTTCATGGATCATTTATGATAATTTTCCACATCTTCAGGTACCCTCTGGTAAACTAACATAGCTATTGAACATGGCCATTTAGTTCGTTGATTTTCCCATTAAAAAATGTGTTTTTCCATAGTTGTTTGTATGTTTACCAGAGGGTAATTCAGTTGCGCAGGAGTTAGAAGAGGAGAGGCGCTGGGAGATGAACCTGGAAGGTTTGGAAGAAGGTCTCTGTGATGAGGTCAGGGGGATGTTGGGGGCCATGATGCCATGGCGGCGCTGGTGGAATCTGAAATGCACCATTTGCTCCATGTAATATGGTATTTTATTTATATAATATATCATATTATATGTATGTATATATATATATATACTTATTTAATCAACATTTGGATGATTTGAAGGGTGAATAAATGTTCCTAATTGTTGGTAGGTCTTCCATACTTGGCGCTTCCGGGTTTGGTTCGGAACAGGTGGAAGGTCGGGAATCTCCTTGGACCTCCCACGGCAGGTGTCCATTGGAGAGCTCGAAATGGACGACGCCGCGCAAGCGCCGGAGGTCTGGGATGGTGCATGGCAAGAGGAGTCCTCGTGCCCTGGGTCGAAATCTGCTGGGGAGCTACAAAGTGGTGCCTCCTATAATTATAATCGCCACAATGGTTGACAAAAGTGAATTATTCATGAGTAATCCCTGGTAGGCATTTATTTCAGCTGAACTCTTCGAAAAGGCAATAGAGAAGAAGAAGAAGAAGAAGAAGAAACCATTATTGATAGTAAATATTGACTTTGCTAAGTTGGTTTATAATTGCATCCAGCTCACAATAATCACCACAAACCTCAGTTAAGATAGAAATAATGTTGGATAACCATGGGGCACCACCTTGTAGTTGTGCATGTTTCATATAGGCATAGTCGTTGTATTGAACGTTACCAATTTCAGGTACACTTTTGGGGTTTGGAAGACAAGCCCCATAGCCGCTATAGCCCTTTCTTTCTGTAGTCGTGCGTGCTGCTGAATGCAAAGGGCAAGAATACCCAGCTAAGGCATTTGATAAATATTTTATGAGTCAAGCCTATGATCTCAATCTCAACAAATTATCTCATCCTGTGGGTCAAAGGCATCATTTCTGTACATTGACCCCAGACATTGTTAGATCTAAACCGCAATTCCGGGTCAAGTCAAAGCCAAACAGGCATGTAGATCAATGTTAACGGGCCTTTAGTTCGCACTTGGATGGTTGAAAACAAATCAACATCAATCTCATGTCCTGCAAATCATCATTACGAAACATATCCAATTATATAATATCACTATATCATATCTCCAACCACCTCTCAGAAATATCAGAAATCCAAATTCTATGTAAACGTCATTCAAAACATCCACAACAGAACTTCCCCAGCTCACCACCTGAGGTTTTACAGCGCCTACCCCCCCGCCTCGCCCCCCTCGCTGCCCTCGATGCCACTGCCCCCGGGGGCCGTGCCACGCCGGGCGCCCGGCTGTGTGGAGCGGACGCCGTCGGCGCCCAGTCGGTTGGAAGCTTGGAGGATGTGGGGAGAGGAAAGGTATTATCGATGGAGAAAGCAACATATATGATATCATATATGTATAGAAGTTAATTAGTAAGTAGGATGTAAGTAGGTAAGTAGATAAGTAATTAGGAAAGTAAATCAGTGGCTCACAACTAGTATGGATTAAATAATGGAACAGATTGTTTATTGCTATATATGGTAAAGTACTGAGATATCGGGAGGATTCTGGAGGAAACATAGCTTTTTCGATGCCATTCGGTGGTCCAACCCGCTTGGATGGGCCATAAGATTGGCTAACTGGCTAGTCAGCAGTGGTTTCTGCCCCCCCGGATCAGCCAGCAATAATATCATTGTAACATGTTTTTCCTCGGATCCCTTTGGCTCACACCACCTTCATACCTCAGTTATCAACAGGGCTTCCATGGTATTTTCATGGTTCGTTACATCATCGCCTAAGGAGCAGAGTTGCCCTCCATCGCCCCTCTTTCCTCGCGACCTTCTGGGGGCACCCGGTGGGTTGCCGCGACGCCGGGTGAACAGCCACGACTACAACTTTAGTTTAGCCAGGTGTGGGACGTGGGACGTGGCGGATGGTGAACAAGTTATGGGGATGACCACCTCAATAACAAGCCTGGAATTGTTTAGTCACTAGTCGGTGGTTTTGTGATTTTCCATGATTTTCCCAATGGGAAAATTTAGGGCAAAACCCTTCGGAAGCGCTGGCAAAAAATGGGAAATCCACCAGAAATGTGGAATCCATGTGGAATATGTTTGATTTTTTTGGAGCACCTTCAGCAAATCTAATCCAAGTATAGATTTCTAGATGTTTCTAGGGGTCACCGGTTAAATTTGTTAGTTAACGGCCAGCAATCACTATCCGAGACGAACTATCCATTTGCTAGTGAATTCCCAGTGGAACTGTGCAAATGATGGCGGTCTTACTGGCCGACCTTACCCAAGGGGCATCGTCTCATCATGACTAAAAAGTGGATTTTGGTGTGATGGAAGTAGTGGTTTCTGGTGATGGCAAAGGGGCTGTACCGGGTCAAAACCCTGGTGAATTGATTAGTTATCCATTATTTCAAATGGACGCATTCCGTTTGCAGATTAGATTAGTAGCAGAGAATATCAAATATTAGATATGTTTCATTTGGCTTCCATTTTCCAGATTTGTTCATAGGTCAATCACAATTTACGGTTGATAAAACGGTCAGCTTTCGGGCCAACTCGGTGCCCCCGGTGGCACCCCGGTGCCAGGCAGATGTCCCTGGAGTCGTCGATCACCAGCGACAGCGCGGGCGGTGGGCGCAGCATGACGCAGACGCCGCCAGGGCTCTTCCCCAGCACCCCCGAGTGCGACCCGAGCCCCTCCACCGGTGCCTTGGATGATCTTGGCTGAAGCGGAGGTTTATAGCTGGGAATGCTGGGAAAACATATGATTTGGAAATGGTGGGTTTTTCCCACAGATGATACTGATGTGAATATCTGTGAATGATGGTTAAGGGGTTGCTAAGTGTTGGAGTTAACATTTGGTCGACTGGCATACGGAAGCCATGGACCGGTATTGTAGTTGATTTACCATTTTGAAAAGCGGTGATTTGTCCATAGCTGTGTCAATTGAGGGCTTCAAGAGGAAACACTGACAGATAGATTGATAGATGATGATTAGAAAAAAAATGTGCTGCACCTAAGATAGGAGGTCTCCTTGAAACATTCAAGACTGGCCAGTTTGTTCACCACTTCAGTGGGTTCCTTTGCCTGTTTTTTTTAACTCATCAGGTTTCATGCTGCCGCCGCTGCACAACCTACCGGCCAGCATCGCAGAGAGCCCACCCGGAGCCTTGATGACACCACAGGTGCCGTTGCAAGGGTTGTGGGCTGGAAGGGAACATTCCAACTACTACGGAAACATGCCATGTGTTCTCTAAGATTCACGAGATATGATATATGTCATATGGTTCAAAGCTTGGTTTGGTCATACTATAACATCTATAACTACCAATCACCGAAATCCCTGAAATCCATGTTGTTTCCTCATTTTTTGGAGGTTTCCCTAATATGATTGAGTCGTTTCGGCCAAACGACAGGTGGTTTACATCCCGGTGCTGCTGCCCCACCGTTGCAGCCACTGCGGCCACGACTGCGATGGCCGCGGCCCGCTGGCGGCGCCGCTGGCGGCGCCGGAGATGAGTGCGAGACGGTGAAAACGGCGAGCAGAGGATGGTTAGATCGTGGAGGTTTGAAAGAAGACCATGGGTGATGAGATATGGAAATTCAATGAAGTTATAATTGATATACAAAATGAGAACTACTTATGGCATATGAATAAAATCATATACATACATATATCATTTATCATATATATATAATTTTATAAATAATGATATGATATGATGTGACGTTTCATGTAGTTGATATAGTTGGTATTTGTGAGGCAGGTTGAGCAGTTGGAAAGGACTAGTGGGTAAAGCCACCGCTAATGGAAGTAAAACAACAACATATGCGAATACGTTTGGTTATAGCATGGCGAGATCATTTTGTATGCGGAGGTGAATTGAACTGACTGAATCGTCCAAGTGTATGTAGCTTTGACATGCTTTGACCTTTGCAGTTGGTATCCTTTTGCAGTAGGGAGCCAGAGGAAAGCCATATAGGGAGGCAGCTGCCATAAATCCCATCACGTCAGGACATATCCCAACCATTCTTTGACCAATGGAGATTCATGGAAACCCTCCCAGGAAACTGGGTTGAGCACTCTATAGACAGCTTAGGTGGAGAAGCTTCCAACAGCCACCATTGCGTGGCTGGGCTTGGAAGTGTGAGTTGGTGTGTCTTAGGTAGTTTCTCCGTGTTTCCCCTATTTCCTGGTTTCAACCGGAGTTGGGTAAATGCCCTCAACCATAGCTGCCCGCCGGACCATCACAACAGGTTAGATACCGCATGCCAGAGCAAGTCGGTTGAGATCGGTGGTCCACTCAAGAAAAAAAACTCCCAGTCAGGGGTATGACTTTATGTCCAAATGGTTCTTTTGCATGTTTTTTGGTGAAATCATGTGAACGACTTCCAATTGTGCTTCGTTACATCCCGATGTTTGAATCTTAGAATCGGGGTGTCAGTCTGTATCCATGTATGGGAACATGGCCCAACTTAACTGTATTGGTTAAGTCGGTTAAGTTCGTGCAATTTCATTTCCCAAGGCCCCATGGTTCCTGATAATACTACAGCAAAGTATGATTTCCATCAGATTTCCCAAGTGTTTTCCATTTCTTTACTACAAGTTATGCTGATTTATACTGCTTTGCATCCCCATTTTGGCACCTTTTTTTTTCAGGTCCACCTTTCCAAGGCCTGAAGCCTGTGGCGATTTGGAGCTCAGCGTGGAAGAGCGGGCTGGGATGAGCCCAGCATGGAGATGTAGTTTTTATCTTTTAAGGATGATCTAAGCATGATAAATTGATGTTACGCCTTACAGACTTGGATGTGTTTAGAGGCGTAGTTTGTGTTTTTTTTTTTTCCGTGTGTGTGTGTTTGTCAGTTTTGAAAGGATGGTCGAAAGTTTAAGATCACCAGTTGGATGATAGTATTTTTTGAGGGTTTTGAGTTTGATGTCATTTTAGAGTGGTTGAACTGGTGGCTCTTTCCCACAAAAAGCGATGATGACGATGACAATGACGCGGTTAGAGACAGGATTGCGCTAGTTCATCCATGCCATTACTCTTGGATTGTTGGATCAACATTTTGACCCAGTCTTTGGTGGTTTAAACCCATCAAAGCCTCATGCTTTGGCACACATTGGATTGGTTTGTTCACTTCATTATGGTTTCCCCATGGGCTGGACTGCTGGTTCAAACATATAAAAACTATGTCCAACCCCCGGGGAAACTCAGTGGATGGTGTTGTTCACATGCCTTCGATTCAAGGCCTGGATCTACCTTCGCGCCTCCCAAGCCTCCCTGGTGCGGAGATTGGTGGTATCCAGGGAGGGAAGATGTCTTTTGTTTAGGGATTTAGTTGGATTTGCTTGGTTTTGAGATCGAATTGGAGGAATGACAGGCTGTTGGGAGTTGGGAGGAACATGTAGGTAGCAGTTGATGATTTTGATGATTTTAGCAGTTATTCTTTATCAAATCACAAAGTTTTTACAGAGAAATTCAGTGGGAAGAGAAGAGGAGAATTCAATGATTCATGCCAATCTGGAATACTGCAGGATCAGCACCATGAAATAAGAATCAAGTATAATGTGTTTGTTCTTTTGCATGGTTCATATCATTCATATCCCACCGAGATTTGCTTTTTGTGCTTAAGAAAAAGCTCAAGATTCCCCATCATGCCTGCTGTCCCCTTGATATTCCCCCCGATGTTCAAATGCTTAGAATTGCCTCAACCTACCAGGTCAGGCCTCCATAGCCTTCGCCAGGTGGATCGGAAGAATCTGGCCGGTTTCCTCAGTGGCTGCCTCAGGTTGTTGCAACAAGACGAGGGGTGGAAAGTGGTTGATTTCCCTACGAGTTCACCCAAAATTGTGTGGCTGATTGGTTGGGTTTCCCATGTGTCCCATGATTAGGTCCAACAATCTAGTTGAATATACCATCCAATAACCTTTATACCAGAAACCTCACCTATATTTGCATATATTATATGTAATGTATATATATATATATAGTGCATATATACTATAGATGGTAAAATCAAGGTGTCCAATTTGGTTGATCCATGTTGAAGCACCTATCAACCCTTTTTTGGCTGGGGAGCTTGATATATATGACCCGCATCTTTGGGTGGGAGCGATGTTTCGTTTTGCTTGGACTCGCCTCAGGTAGTCCTAAGCCGCATTGCAAGGAGCTCCTGAAGGTTGGTTTGGAGGGACGTGTTGCAGGGAGCAAAAACATGATCAGGAAAGTGGTGCGGAGTGGTGCTTAGTCTCTGTTTGTATCGATGATTTGGCTTGGGGGTTCACACATTTATCTAAACTCTTGTTGAGGGTGTTCGCAATGTTGCTGGAATCCTCCGGACTTTGGTATCGTTGGTCACTCGATCGGTTTTGAAGACAACCTTAACCTCCAAGAAACCCAGTAGTTTTACAAGTTGTTTTTCATGTTTTTTACCATCAATTATTGCCATATCTGGTTGGTGGTTTGGAACACTTTACCGCTTGGGCTGGGGCTTTGTCTGGTTTTCGCCGGCACTTTGTTGTTCAGGGGTCCTATTCCCCAGGAATCCACTCCACCAACGGATTCCCAGAGGGATGTGCGATGTCTTGCGTTGCCATGGTTGTCCTCACCGACCTATTCCACAAATGGGTGCGGGCGGCGGGGTTGATGTACCGTCCGGTTTCTTACGTCGACAACTGGGCCATCATCATGCAGTCTCCTGAACACATGCAGCGAGCTTGCCAAGCAGTCGACCAGTTCGCCCACATGCTCCAGATCAGACTGGACGCTCGCAAGAGCTTCACTTGGGCCACTGACAGCAATGGACGCAAGGCTTTGAGAGAACAAGGTTTCCGGGTTCTCCATTCCACCCGTGACCTTGGAGCTCATGTGGTTTACACTTGCCAGTTGGCCAATGGGACCACGCTTGACCGGTTCCGGAACCTTGATGACTTCTGGACAAAGCTGAAAGGAGCCTCTTGCACGATCCAACAAAAGATCACTCTGACCATCCGGGTCGCCTGGCCAAGAGCCATGCATGCGGTCTCTGCCGTTGTGGTTGGCAAGAAACATTATGAAAGTTTAAGGACAGCTTTCATGAACGCCCTGCATCTCCAAAAACCTGGCTCCAGCCCTGACTTGCAATGCTGCCTTGAACGACTGATTGTTGACCCTCAGGTCTATGCGGTGCTTGAAACGGTTCGGGATGCCAGGAGCTTGAGCTGTCACTCCAAGGTCGCCCTGGATTTAGACCATGGTCCTCTTTGTCCCGACAATCCCACGTTCAATTCCCTGTCTGAAATCCTTTGCCAACGGTTGCATCCGGTTGGGTTCCAAGTCCGGCCCCATGCCATTGTTCAGGATGCCATTGGGACGTTTCCGTTTTTGACTTGTGGCTTTGGGGAGTTCCTTGTCCGTTGCCAGTGGGTTTGGATTTCTGTGGTTGCCGCCAGGGTTGCTCACCGTCCTTCCTTTGGTGCCTTTGCCCAGGTCGATGTCCGGCATACCCGACAAGACTACCTTGCGGCTTCTGGGTTTGATCAAGGAGTCTTGCGGAAATTCCTCAATGGAGCTAGCTTCACCAATGCTCATGCCTATCGATGGTCAGCTACGGGAGATGACAAGTGCTTACTTTGTGGCCAAGCTGACTCCAGCTGGCATCGACTGTGGACTTGCCCAGCCTCAGCCGAGCTCCGGGCTGCCCTGCCCGAAGGTTTCATGTCCCAGGTGGATGAGGCTCCTTTGGTTTTGTCCGTGCATGGTTGGACTTTGCGTTCCCCCGTTGCGGTTCAATGGTTGCAGTACTTGGATGGTCTCCCCAGGGAACCCCCGTTACCAGAAGTTGCCCCTCCGTGTTCCATCCTTGACTTGTTCACCGATGGTAGTTGTCTGTTCCCCACCGATCCGGATTGCAGAGTTGCGGCCTATGCGGTTGTCCATGCAGCGCCGTTCACGCTGGATTACACCCATCTCAGTTTTCGACCGTTGGTGGCTCAGCCGCTTGCTGGAGTGGTGCAATCGGCCTTCAGGGCGGAATTACAGGCAGTTGTGGTTGCCCTCCGGATTGCTCTTAAGTTTGGAGTTTGGGTTCGAATCTGGAGCGACAGCAGCAGCGTGATTTCCTTGTATCAAAAGCATGTTCTGGACTGTGCCCCAGTGAGTTTCAACTGCAAACACTCTGACTTGGTCCGAGAGATGGTGAGTTTGGCCCAGGACATTGGACCGCACAAGATCGCTTTGCTCAAAGTGCCAGCCCATGAAAAGAAGGAGCAATATGAAACTGACCTTGAACACTGGCTCCTCGACGGCAACTCGGCGGCTGACAACGCAGCTCGTTGGGCTAACCATAACAGACCACCTGGTATCTGGCAGCTGTGGAACCAGCATGCGCAATCTCTTCATGACAACAGAGTCACCGCTTCCTTGGTTCGTCGTCACATGGTGAACGTTGGCAGGATATGGAAGAACTCCCCTGGAGCTGCCCCGTCAAGGGAATCCGACCCCTTGGTTCTGCGTGCACCGCGTCCAGCCCGAGTTCAGCCCTGTCTCCGTTGGACTTCACCTGACGATCTTGTCTTGTGTCGGCCTAGTTTCACTCGCCTGTTCAGCGCAGAGTTAGCATCCGATGTACAGCGATGGATTTCGAGCATCCGTGATCCCAACGTGTCCCTACGTTGGATCTCATTTATCCATCTCTTCGTTAGCTTCCTGCGTAGGTGCGGACCCATTGACATCTCAAAGGTAGATGGCCAATGGAAAATTCATCGTGGCGAGGTTGCGCGGCTGGGGAACCACACCAAATTCTCCTTGCGTGCCAAGTGGTTCAGACTCATGCTTCAACAGTACCTTAGGGATTGCAATGTTGAGTTTGTCACTGCCACGGTTCGACCCTTTTCTCAATGGATTTGTTGCTTTAGGGGTGCTATTGGGTTTCAATTTTGTGACAACGAATTTCGTTTTGTCGAGGGTGTGCTTGGACAACAGCTAGGGTCCCCAGTCAATGGATCAGGGAAAGCGTTGGACAAGCTTCGGGGATGAGCTCCGGTTGCAAAGGCAGCCGACGTTGCTCTCCCAGCGCGGCAGCTTGGCACCCAGAGCAAAAAAAAAAAGAACACTTGTTATTTTCCCCAATAGCTGGGACGATGATCCAATCTGACTAATATTTTTCAGAGGGATTGAAACCACATGTATTTGCTCCAAGTCCTTGTCGCAAGAAACCACAAGAACCCCTGCTTTCCAGGCCTACACCAGGCTTTGGGAGTCGGAATGGTGCCACTCTCGGTGACCGTGGGAAGGGGACTACCCCAGATAGGTACCAGTAAGTTTGGTGTGTAAGCTAGGCAACTAGGATTTGGAGAGGATATATCTGCAGTTGGACGGGGTTATATCAACTAGCAGCCACTTTATATATCAGTTTACAACTGGGGAGGCCTTGTGGTGGAGATCGTTTGCGATATTATTGTTTCATGGAGAACTCCCATGATCCACGGGTGGATGGTTTACACGTGTATTTGTTATGTGCATCTTTTCCTGCAGCAAAGAGGTGCACCAGTGCACCATGATACTGGTACGTTCCCATCATTCAGCTGGGTTATTGATCCCTCGTTGTTTTTTTGTGATGTCCCATGCCTTCAAGACTCGCCCATGATGCAACTGGGTGCCTTCCGGTTCCGGTGCGGGTTGTGCCCCAAGGCGCATGGAGTGGAGAAATACCCTGGAGATCCCAGAGGTCAGACAGCTGCTTTCAGTTTGAATCATCCATCCACATGTCAAAGGCATCATTGAAACATAACTGATGCAATGTAATGTCAACCCTGGATTAATAAATAAACCCCTAAGAGGTTGTTTAATTGGTGGAATGTCATTAAAATATCAGATGAAATGACTATTTGGGGAGTACCCCCCCTAATTTTCATAAGCCATGGTTTGTAAATCCGGGGTTGGCATTATACCATCCAGATATCCTGGAAATTATAGCAATTCACCATAGTTATTACTAGTTATTAGCATCACCAAAATTCAACATTATTAATTACATATGTTGATCTCCTCATATTTCAGTCGTGGGACTCCTTGTCATCAGATTTGGTCTCATGATATGTGTACCAAACTGGCAACTTTTTCCATTGAAACAGTTACCCTCTGGTTTTTTAACATAGCCATGGGAAATGGCCCATTTATAGATGGTTTACCTATTAAAAATGGTGATTTTCCATGGCTATGGCACAAATAACCAGAGGGTATAAGTTTTAGGTCGCAACGTTTGGATCAGCTTGTCATGTCCCATCCAGGAGAGTGCAGCAAGTTCACCTGGCAGCAGACAGTCGGGGAGTCTCAGAGTCAATAGTTTCCCGCCTTTGCTAGTCATCCAACTCCCCACCAGTGTTGCCCCAAACTTCCAAGGATAAAATATTGTTGGGGAGTATCCACCTTGTTTGTTTTCCACTGATTGTTATTTTTTCTTCCCAGATTTTGGTTTTCTCCATTTTTTTTCCACATTGTTTGGCGTGTTTGTTAGCTTTTTTGGTCATGATTTCAGCCGCAGCAATTTTCCAAAAAGGGTCAGCCAGACCCAGGTCCTCCAGAAGTGGTTCGCAAGGCCCCACCACCACCACCCCCTCGGACGTCTCGCGGCGCACGCGATCACAGCAGCTCGGCAGCTGCGACGGCTTGGTGTTTTCAGTTTGAGATGTGATTCACCAGTTGGAACCAGGAAGGTCAATTTTATACTTACCCTCTGGTTATTTAACATAGCCATGGAAAATGGCCCATTTATAGATGGTTTACCTATTAAAAATGGTGATTGTCCATGGCTATGTTAGTTTGCCAGAGGGTAATATCTAAGTAGATTGCATTCATGTTATTCATGCTTTGGGAAGTTGCCTTACGGTTTTGTTGGAAGCTTGAATGTATTGACCGTGTTGATCGTGGTTTGCCCAATATCTGTTTTTTTGTGATGCTTGAACCGAGTGTGTGACTGTTAGTGGGAAATTGCTAAATCACGCTGTCATTCTTTGGCACCTCAATCACTCAATGCAGCAGATGAAGCCAATTCATGGCTGGTTGGTGGTTTGGAACATTTTTTATTTTCCATATATATATATGGGGAATAATCAGCCCAACTGACTTTCATATTTTTCAGAGGGGTAGGTATACCTCCAACCAGATGAGCATGGTTCTTGGTTAAGTGGGTCAAACAGCATCTCCAGATTATTGTTGGTTCCAACCCGGCTCATGCAACACTTTGGCCAGGTTTTGTCGTCATTCCCTTTCTTTGCACACACCACCGTGCCCAAGAGTTGTACGGCCACCATCTCATTTCTCCCAGACTCTCTTCTTCAATCTAGGATGAAAAAAAACAAAATCAATCGAAAACCTCCATTGTTTTTTGTTTTCAAATGGACAAACCCAGGGGTTTTCCAAGGAAACCCATCTACAAATGATGAGTTTCGCATGACATTTCGAGGTGCCCCGTTCCTGTCAGCTCCGTTTGGAGCTGCCTAGGTCCCGGCGGCGCATGAGTCGAACGGCCAGTGGCCTCAGATCTAAGAAAAACATCAGGGATCGGCTAAGGATAATGATTTCCAATTTCAATTAGTAAATGCTGCGACAAAAATAATGATAATAGTGATTTAATGGGATTTTATGGTGGTTTAATGGGGTTTTATAGTGATTTACTGGGATAGTCATGGGATATACTCCCTCCGGTAATTTAACATAGCCATGGTATAGATGGCCCATAGAAATAGATGGTTTACCTATTAAAAATGGTGATTTTCCATGGCGAACTGTTAAATAACCAGATGGTAATATGTTTCATGATAAGGAAATTAAAAGAATAATAGTAGAAAGATGTTGAACCACTAAGTACACTACTAAGTACTATGTCACAGACTATGTCCTTTTGTGCTTCTTACCAGCTTTGCACGCACATTGTCCACAATAAAATTTCAACATACATAGAAAACAGCACCAAGAAAATCAGATGTTGCGGTCACTTCGCATTCTCATCCGTTATCATGTTTTTTCTTGTCAATATATTAGAGGCTAATAAAGATGATCTACCCTATAAAATGAATGTATTAATGGGAACAAAAATCATCTGTACGCCTGGATTTGCTGAAGATTTGTTGGGGAATCTATGGGGAATATGTTTATTATGCAAATTCACGTAGTCATAGGGGCCATATCATCCCATATCCCAACTTATGGGGATTAGAATCCCAGAATTACTCATAAAAAATCACAGTTGGCTGAAGCAGAATCCATCATTATGCCATATTAAGCCACGATTCACCCATATCCAGCTACGCTTTAAGCCATCGTTTGATGGGGAACCACATCCATTGCCTCGAGGATTGGATCCTGGGTCGCCTGGGTGGCGTGTCCTCCACAGCGGACGATAAGAGCAATGGCAACCTCTTCGTGTGCCTCGGTGGTTAGAACCGGCACAAAAGTGGGACTTCACCGAGGGAAACTGGTGGAAAAATGGTGGAAAATGGTGATTTTATAGTTTTTATAGTTGATTAGAACTGGTGAAACATATGGGGAAATAATGGTGGCCACTGACTTCACCAAGAAAACATGGTGGAAACATATGGGGAAGTCCAAAGTTTTGCCGGTTAGTCCAATAACAATTGGGACTTCAGTGACCAAGAAGCATGGTGATTTTATAGTTGAATCGTGTTAGGTGAACCAACAGACATGTGGATACGAAAGCAACAATAGTGGGGATGTGAAACCAAGCAATGGGATTCCAGGCAACAAAAAAGAGAAAGGTCCCAACCCCCCAGCACAACATCGCAAGACCATGCCATGACCATGCTTTTTTTCATGGATCGTCCCTGATTTTTTTGCCAAGGTCGGCCATGCGCTCCTTCTTCGCCAATGCCATCCGGATGGCCAAGTTGGAGGTTTGAGAATGTGCCCATGGCTGACCAAGCTCCATAAACGATGGTAAAGATTTCGGGAAGCATCCAGTTTGTGGCCCATCGAATCGAGTCTAGATTTTCATTGCCATATAAATTATTAGGTCTCCAGGTTGGGGGTGATGGTGAACCTCATGTTTTTTTTTGTGGGTTAACTATGGTTAATTAATAGATTTAATAGTGGTTGATTAACCATCATTAATGAATCATCAACCATGGTTAACCCATTCTTAACCATGGTTAATCATGGTTAATGATGGGCCGGCAGTCATCTGCAGTGACAGGCAGATCCGGTGCAACGCGTCATCGAGGCATTTGCAGAAGCCTTGGCGCGGTAGCTCAGGGCTGCAACATGGGGAGCCTATCCCACAAGCCACAAAAACGTGGCGATTTAGAATGGCAAACAGGGTGATTTCAACAGCAAAAAGGAACAAACATGTGAGTTTGAACAGGTTTAACCAGCAAAGATGTGGGATATCAAAAGCATTCAAAAGCAAAACCTGTGATTTAGGTAGCCAAAACGGTGGCTCCAGTTCAGAGGTCTGGTGAGGTGTTGTGGTTGAGGCTACACCCAGTTAAAATGTGTCAATTGTTGCAGCATCATGGTGGATGTGTGCATCCTCAGCGTGCCTCGTTGCACTTTTTGTCGTCCTCGGTCGTCCTTTTTTTGATGTAAGTGACTTGAGTCGAGTTCTAAAAACTTTGCTGCACAGATTATCACAGATTGCCTTGTCTTATCCAAAGCCTTGTCCAGCTATCATGGCCTCATTCTGATGCCACACAGAACCTACACCAGCCACAGCGAATGCTCTCAGGTGGCAGATTCTGCCTTCCTCTCATGTCAGTGTCTCAGAACTGGCGCGCTTCCAATCCCAACCCTTTTTGTATGAAATACCAACCATATGGGCCCCTCAAAATGGATAGATCCTACACTAAACCATGGCTTTTATGTGGCATTTAGAGATTTAATCATCAAATATACAGAGAAAGTAGGATGGAATTTAGGGAAGTGACATTTCCAATGGGATTTTTTTTTTTCCGCTGGAGATTGGGATGCGTCCACCTTGACGCTCAGGCTTCCAGGCATCCATGCTGCCAGAAGCGGAGTCCGGGACCCTAAGCTGCTGACTTTGGGAGATGCTTTGATGGAAGAGGATCTTCTAAGGCCCCAGGTACATAATATATACATATATATATATATACAGTAAAATTATGTTGAATCAAAAAATCAAAGAATATCCTAGACGTTTTGTTTGCACACACTTTTGTCTAAGTCCAAACTGAAATACCCCCAAGAAGTTATCGGTTGCGTTTTTTTTATCATCCATGGCCCGTGTCCAACAGAAACGAAGTTTGCCCCATGGCCCGTGTCGCATCAATGGTGGTCCCCCAAGGCGACAGACCTATCGCACGCCTGATGAAGTGCTCTTCGGGCTGGCGTACACCACGTGGGGTTCCCCCAGTGGGATCATGAAGGGATCGAGGTTTTCACCTGGTGGGCTCAGAGGTGTTTTTAGCCATGAATTGGAAACACATGGTAGGTTATATGGTGATTATATGAGACTATATAATGGAGGTATCTTAAACCCAGAAATGGCAAACTTGCTTTTTTGGTGGTTTTGTGGTTTTGAACTTCACTATATTTGATGTCATCATATGCCATCCATTGGTGCACAGTTATGTCAGCGCAAGGGCCTTTTGCTCTCAGGTTGATGCTCAACACAGACATGCACAACAAGCAGGTGGTTCTGCCCTCAGAAGTATCGACACTTGCTTTGGACCACAGATTTGGCCAAGTTTTAACATGTTTTAACTATTGACATGCATCTACACATGATTTTCAACCATTGGTGTATCCCATGTTGACCCACAACCAATAATGATATATGTGCAGAGATACAGATGAAACAAGATCCCAGCATATCAGCATGTATCCTGGTCTTGTTAGGTGGATCAATTATAATTCCGCTGCTAAGGCCCAGAAGATGTGGGACAACAAGAAGTTTGCCCGGGTGCCCGATGGGGTGAAGACACGTGGCAGGAGATGGGGATGAGCCACTGCTGGGGGTGGGAGGTTGACACATCACTTTTTGTTAACAACCCTCTCAATTTGGTGATGTGTGTAAAGGAATTGTGCTGACCTAGGCTTTTCGGTCAGGAAGGTTCTTGTCCATGACAATTTCAAGCAACTTACTCGCCATCAATCTAGCAGAATCCAGCACATTGAATGCACATTGAATGCCCTTGAGTGCCCGTTGCATTGAGGTTGGCGCTGGAAAGGGCTGTGGTGTGTGAGGTGCACAGAAACTGCTTTTCAACACCTTGTGACTCGTGACCTCTTGATTTCACGGTCGGGATGAATGTTTGTCTCCATGGATCAACATTTATGGTTCAGCAGATGTTGGTTCATAACGATCATCAAGCGGATGTTTCATATATTTACTGTTTGATTTTGCTTTCATATTTTTTTGGGGTCATGAGTCATGAGTCACTCACTGCCCATACTTCCAGCACTTACCGAGGACTGGTGGGTTGATGGCTCAAATCTACAAGAACATCCAGGGCGTCACTTGGCTCACCGTGGCATAAGATGACACGTGTTAGCCTGCCAGCTGCCTGAAGTAGTAGAACGGCTACCTGAAGTGTAGATGATAGAGTTTGGACATTGTTTTATAATCGGATATTTCAGGTAAACGGTGGAGTAAACATCGCTAAACAGATTGTTGAACTGGAGTCCAGGAGGTGCTTTACTTTCCAGGACCGTGAAGCCATGGCCAAAGCAAGGACATCCACCCCACCATGCAAACCAAGGAAGAGATTTGATTTTCCTGCAGTGAGCGTGGACAGGATCCACAGGGATTGCTGGATTTCCTCAGCAGACGTCCATGTGTTCGAATCCTTGGCAGCAACCAGCCCAATGAGGCATCTAGGGTAATAAGGTAATCAAGCTTTTGAGGAATCAATAAATAAAGCAAGCAACCAACCAATCTTAACCAATTCTTACCAATCATCAACTACTTGTAGATGATCTTGTGTATACACACACACATATATATAAACCATGTAAGCAATTTGTAGTAAACCCTTCCCAATCAAACCAATCAACCAGACAAGGAAATCCACTTGCACCAGCTATCGTCATAACCAAGACCTGATAACCTGGCCATCACGGAGCTGATGACCTGCTCTAGGTGGCCATGTGAACATCCCAAATGATGCAAGATCTGCCTGGATGATTTATGTTTGGTTCCATGAAGGTACTCGACATATACTCGACATGAATGTAGAAGATGTAGAGACGAACTTTTTACTTATGTATTTGGCTTGGTGATGGTGGGCGTTAGCGTAACCCAAGATTTCAATTTACATGAAAATCGAGCACATCAAAAGTCCGGTTTGATGTAGTGCATGTGCCGCTGATAGGGCGCCTCAAAGCTTTGGGTTGTCAGGTTACCATCTCTCAGGTTGTAGTCTCACCAATGTACCCGACAAGCAAAAAAGTGTTGCTGTGCAGGACGTGGAGTGTGGGCACTGGAATCAGGAGTCACCAATTAAAGCCGGACACTGTTGCCCGTTTTGGAAATCATGTTTGAACTACATATGGGTTAATAAGAAGTGAAATCTATGGGAGGGTTTGCCAGATTATAGCTGCAGTTGCAGCAAACTGCCCTTGATACTTTCAGTAGTGCTGTTCGCACAAGTTGTGTTTGTAGAAGCAGGGGTAGCAGCAGGTCACTCTTTTTTTGGCTGCCTCTTTGGACAAAAAGGGGGTTTGGGTTGAGAGTATGGCACAATGAGGTTCCAACCAGAATGTTGGCTCTCAACCAGATTTCTGTGAGCATGTGTGCAGTGTTGATTGTGAATGCCATTGTTGATGGTCAGTATGCCTTGGTCATATGAAGTGATATGATGTCCCTCCAGTGTGTTTTACATCATGCTATTTGCTATATATGCTGCCATAAGAACGTTAGCTCTCCCAACCAAACCTTCAAATGGATGAAATCGGGAGTTTCAAAGGCCTTTCAGTTTGCTAGGATTATAGTTGAGAAATAGTTGAGAATATCACTTGTTCGAACCAAAGTGTCCATCCTTTCTTGGCTCAGGCGCCCTACTTTTGGTAGGCGCAAAGGTTCACAAATGCCTGAAACGTTTCACCCGACCGGGGCGTGCGATCGCTCCCGCGAGTCGTGAAGGCTGCTGAGTCGGTTGGACTTCATTGGATTTCTGAATGATGATCAATTGGATCGGAACAGACAGTATCGACAGAAAGCCTCAACTGCGATTTGATTCTGAGTGGGATTGTGTCATAACTAGAGTAACTTATCCATGTCCTCGGCCTAATTGGTAATTTTCATCCACGTATCATTTCAGGGCCTCGCGGTTGAAGCAGATGTTTTAAAGTTATGGAGTACTTTCTGATGAATTACTGGGTCACATCCACTATACTGTATACAATTCCTTGATATTTCTTGATACTTCACATGGTGGCCCCACAAAACCCAGATGCAGATGCACTGCACGGTCTGCTGGTACAGGCCCGTGGTGAATGGCCAAGCCTTTCACCTGGGACTTCGAACCCAGAAATGTGACCTTCAAACTGAGGGTGCTCGGATACCCCAAGGGCCAGAGACGAGGGGAGGCTTCAGATGTGGCTGCAGTGGCAAGAGTATAGGGAAGCTTGTGACATTAGATGTTCAAACTGCACAAAACATAACCGGAACCAAAATAAGTGGGAGGCATGTGGGAAACGTATCAGTATGGTTTTTGGCATGTTTCACGATTTCAATTTGAAATCTTTAACTCTCATTGCGTGTTCCATTCTTTGGCTGAAGCTTTTCAGATGCACATGCTTGGCCCTTGTGATGCCACTTCATTGGCTATCAGCCGAGGCAAGCTAGCGTCCATCCATCCCTGACGGGCTGCACCGTGTCCATGTGGGGGGCCGTAAGATGGGCTGCGTGGGGCGGTTGTCCGTGGATGGTGGCCTAGCGCGCAACCACTGTAGTGGATGATGATAAGGCGCCTCGGGAAACAATATAGGATGGTGGTGATAATGTAATCAATCAGATCCACATTGTTTTGTTATACTTTGTGTCTGAATGCTGATGATTGGATCAGAAACCGTCGCTTCACCTGAGCGCACTGGGAACCCCAAGTTACCTCACCTGTCAATTTCTTAGAAGTTGTTCCGCCTTCTTAAGCCATTTGGAAGCTCAAAGCAAGCTTCCTTCGTGATATGGCCCCTGTTGTGATTGGAAGGTTGAGAAGTTGCCTCACGCCATGCTCATTCCTGGGATTCAGGATCGTTTTTCGACAACTGTCGAGTGAAGCAACTCAAAGATCCAGCGCTGAAAAATACTGGCAAGTCAGCTCACATGGCCGATGCTGTGACACAAGAGGACAAATCAAGTTGGGGCATTTGAAGGCTGATGGCTATGCCCAGGTGAACATTTTGGGTCACTTCTTCCGAGTCCATCGTTTGGTAGCATTTGCTTTTTTTGGCCCACCCCCGAGCAAAGACGCCTGGCAAGTGCACCATAGAGATGGGGACCGATCAAACAACCATATGAAAAACTTGGAGTATGTCACATGCAGCCAAAATGTTCGCTTTTCTTTTTTAAACCCTTCCAGAACCGGGTCCGGTCCAGCGCAATCCAAGCCAGTCATGTGTCGACCGATAGGGTGCGAAACTTGGACCACCTACTCATCGGTCACACAAGCAGCACAAACACTTCAATTGTCCATTGGAACGGTGTCCAAATGCTGCAGGGATGAATGTCCAGCCAAAGGTTTGGAGTTCCGCTTTCGAAAGTCAGCTGACCACAACCTGGAAGGAGAGGAGTGGCGGCCAATGCTGGATCCGGAATCAGGTGTTGAGGTACCTGGAAGGATGGTCAGTTCACTTGGCCGAATCAAGTCAAGGAGTGGGGTGGTTCACAGAGGCCATCTTTCCAAGCAGGGATACTATGAAACGAAAATCATTGCAGATCCAGTTGCAAAAGGACAACTTGTTCATCGCTTGGTTGCAATTGCTTTTCTGGGCTATCCCCGTAGTGAGAGGCACATTCAGGTAAATCACAAAGACGGAAATAAAGGTAATAATGCAGTTGTAAATTTGGAGTACGTAACTGCATCTGAGAATGCAATCCATCGCTCTAGAATGGTGCAAAGCAACTCCGAGAGAAAGGGTGGCATGTCGCCTCTCGCAAAGCCGGTTTGGAGCAGAGAATTTGGAAGTACTCATGAATGGACGTGGCACCCATCCATGACACAAGCAGCAGATGCGTTGGGCGTACGGTTGGGGAATATATCAGCATGCTCTCGAGGGCTCCAGAGACAGACAGGAGGCTTCGAGTTTCACCTTGCAGATGCAGAAGTTGTATCCAAACTGATTCCAGGTGAAGAATGGCGGAAGGTGGACCTGCCATTGCTTCTGCAAGAGAAGTGGCTCAGATCGAGCTGACTGGGAAGAATTTCCTGCCCAGGTGGTAATGCCTGGTGACCATCCGGCCTCCTGGCCCTCGGGTGAAGTGGCCGAAGTCAGACGCTTTGGCAAGAGGGCACCGCCGATCCTTTCAGATTGAGGCCAACTTTATTTAAAGAATGTTTTGGGCCGAGTTGGCGCCGTGACCTGAAAGCCTGTTGCTATCCCTGTGTGGGTAAGCAGTAAGCTTGCAAAAATGTGCGCTGAACAATGCAGACATGGGACATTGGCAACGGGTTTTTGGAATCTTGGGGCGGATTTAGTTTATGGATATTTATGGCATTTTATGGCTTTGAGGATTTGCGGACGGGAAGCTGCAGATAAAGCAGCAAAGGTGCTACAGGTTCTACAATAGTCATGGTGCAAACCCGCTGGAACGGCTGCAAGTTGGTATTTCGTTGTAGGAGACGAATGTGTCCTCACCTCAAGGCCCATGGATCAACATACTGTAGGCGAGACAAAACAACTAAAATCAAGCATATGATCCAGGCAGTACAATCGCCCCCATACAACCTTGTTGTTCATGTTCTCCCGGATTACCTTAAGCAAAATGCAACAAACAGAAACATTGACATTTATGTGAACTCTCATTGCAAAGATTGATTTTCAACGTCCTGCAACACAAAGAAAGAAAAAATGCTAACTGAAGATGTGAGGTTTTCCATCAGGTTCCCATCCGTTCCTGGTCCGTTCCCCCTCTTTTGAAGCACCACTGCCCCACCCACGTCCCACCCAGACCTTTCCTGGACGCCAACGGCGCCTTGACGAGTTCCGTCTCCGCGAGCCTGAGCTCGGGGGAGGTGGAGCAACGGCAGGTGGGGTCCCTGGGACGATGTGTTGCACAGTGATTTGTTTGATTTTATATGTTTGGTTGATTGTCTTGCTTTTCACCCTCACACTTTTGTTTAAGATAAAATTAATTTGTTTTTTTGTTGTACTTAATTTGGTTGCTTATTGGCCCGTGCATTTGGACCCACCTGCCTCACCCACCTTAGCTTCCTTCCTTTTTGGTTCTACAGGCGGCACCCAGAGGTGGGCAGAGGCTGAATCTGGAGAAGGAGATTGGTAGTTTCAACGTTCTGGAGCTCAGCAGGGAAGAGAACGTGCCCAAGTGCTGGATCCAATGTTTGGAACACTGGAAAATCATCACTTGGTTGATGGTAAGATAATCAAGAGAAATTAAAGATAAATCGGAACATGAGGAGATCCTAATTAGGACTCACATCATCCTTACCAAACAACATGAACCGACATTTGTCATTTATCATTACTAGTTTGATCATCAACTATATAACCTTTGATATCAAGAGCATTCAAAGCTAAGTTATTAAACACTATATAACTAGGTAACCCCAAATCCCATCCAGAATCTGAACATCAAACATATTATCCCAACTTAAATTTAGCACAACTATAGCAGCTACCCCAAAAAACCTTCCGTGGAAAACCTGTTTCCCCAAAGGTGAGCTTAGACTTCGTCAAGGGCATTCAGACCGCCAAGCTCCCCATCAGCGTCACCTTGGATGGCACGGGGCCCAGGTGATCTGTACGGACCCAAGTCATGGATGGTGCTGGTTAGATTGTTATTTAAGGGAGTTTACCAATTTATATTGAGTGGATAGACCATACATAGACACAATCAAAATATAGATCTGACAATTTACGAGTTTATATATTTTTACATTATAGATCTGAATGTGTCCAAAAATAGTGTCAAACGAATTGATCAGGTGGATAGACCATACATCGTGGATGATGTGGGAGATAGTGTTTGGACCACAGACTATTCTATATGAGTTGAACATGTTCTCGATGGGTTGCAGTCCACAAAAACTTGTAGAAGAAACTTCAAATGTGCCGTTGCTCATGAAATTTATGGAACCCGCAAATTCGCAGACATCCTGCTTTTAGTGAAAGCTTTGAATTGGTAGGAGTCATCATTCTTCGGACTATGATATGTATGCTGTATGCTTAATTTAATCCTTTTCATAATTCCACCAGTGTTGGGAAAACGTTTCTATATTATAGCTTTTTTTCCGTTAGTTTCAGCAGATCATGCAGTTCATGCACTTTTTTGGCCCTCTTTTGCTAAATCATGCTTTATGTACTATAGTTGATAACGAGGTTCCAAAACCCTATACCAACGCCAAAGCCACCACGATATCTCCTTCAACTCGTGCCATCAGCAGCCCAGCGAGGTACCCAGCAGGTGGTCAGCGAGGTGAAGGGGGCCCGCAGATATTGGAGGGTAGTGACATATAATGACAGGTGCTCAGAGAAATCTATAGGCAACACGGCGGAAAAATATGCACCGGACAGATCAAAGTTAAGTAACTTCAACAACTTCAAATGAGGAAAATGTGAAAGCACTTTAGGGATCTATAGGGCAGATGAATGCCAGCAATGCGAGAAATACGTGATGCATCAGACTGGCATGTCCACTTTTTCTATTGCATTGTTATACCCGGCATGGTGCATACAATTCCACCATATGTTAATCCAAACGGTTTTTGGGGCGTTTGTCATGTTTATATAATAGATGATCAATTAATATCATATTTTATCGCAGTCGCCACTTGCCCACATTTCACCAGGCTCAGCCCATTGCAACTTGACATGAACCAATATCCATCCATGCACGATGCTGCGGCACCCATGTGGTAGGCCAGAATCTGCTTGGGCCCTCTGTTGCTGGCGGGAAGCCCAGCCTTGAGCCCCGAGACCTATCGACCCGGTGAACCTGCCAGGTGGAGTTGAGACTCGGGGGTTGGCAGGGCCAGGGTTGGGAAGACCAGGGGAGGGTTTAAGCTTTCTTTTTGGAGCAAATAATGTGCTGGAATTGAAAGCCGCAATTTTTCACTTCGATATCTCCAATGATCTCCAATGAGTTGCTGGAACAACAATGGATTGTAAAGCAAGCTGCAATTTGAAGGACACAACTCTTGCTATGCAAAAACATAACAAAAGCCATCCGCACCACATCATATTCCAACATATTCCGACCATTCAACATTCTTCAGCCACAGCCCTATTATATACCCAGCCACCTGCCAGCCAGGTCCAAACGCTTGCGCCCCACCCACAGCGTGTCGGCCACCTTCACAGAATCGGTGGGCGTCCGGAAGCCCCAACTGGGCGCGTCAGGGGGAGCAATTTTTGATGATGGTTCAGGGGGAAATTGTTGAAGGACATGTTTAGAATAAATTTCTGAGGTGGGTTGAGTTTTGTTTTGTTTTTTGTTCATGATTCATGGGGTTTAACATGTTTGCCGTTGAAGATGCTGTTTTTTGACGTGCCATTTCTCAACTACCGCTTGGCTTTTTGAAGGCATGGCATGTCCATGTCCTGTGTGAACACAGGTCCAGCCATTGCAAATCTAAGGCCCATCAAATCTCAACTTTGTTTGTGTTGGTTTTGGTATCAAACCTGCTATATTTTAGGATCTCAAGTAACATGGCCGGTGACAGCCATGACAACGGCCAAGATCGCTGGTCTCTACAGCTTGGAGGTCTTTGTGGGAAGCTCAGCCATTCTGTTGCTCCCCCCAGCCCCAACAGATGTCAATATATTCTGATTGCTGCTTGGAACGTATAGCTTTGTCTCAGCTTTGTCTCAAAATGGTGGACACGCCAGCATTGCATTTTATCATTTTTTTATGAGGAAAGAACGTGAGGTGACTGTTTTTTGGAAGGGTCAAATTACCATATTCTTGGACTACCCCCATCTAGTTATATAGGTTGTCCCACGCCACTGAGGTCATAACAGACAAGCCAATGCTGAGCCAGGAGATGCTTACGTTTCTCAGCTGGATGGGAAAATGTTGTGCTGCTTCAAATGTTTTTTGGGGAAATGGTGCGGGTGAAGGCACACAAACTGAGGATATCTTAGGATATGTCAGGATTTCTTAGGATCATTAGAGACTTGATTGGCTTGTTGCATGAGGCACCTTGGAAAAGCATTGACAAGCGCTGTGGTCACCTGTGGTCGTTTGCCTATTTTTCTAAATAGAGAACTGCCATGTCAAATGTCCAGCTATCTAGGGTTAGTCATGTGTATTAATCAGCGGGGTTGGTTCCAACCACTTTCTACTTCATCCATTTATATATATATATATATATATATATACATGCTTTCAGTTGCTATCATGCTCGGGCAAATCTTAGATCTTTAGTGACTGCCTGATATGACTGCAGAGTGAAGATTCAAATCCTGGGAGATTATCAATCCCAACGGCGACAGCGGACTGAGGCGCTTGATGCCCGCGTGCTTCCGAGTAGAAATGGTGCGAGGCCTTCCGAATGAGTTGGAGGCTGAGAGGGAACGTCAGTGCACAGGGTGTCAGCACATTACTTTTTATTCAAACCTACATACAGCACATGTATGTCACTGAGTGTACATGATAACATGACATGTTTTTTTTATTAAAACCTACATACAGCACACGCACATCACTGAGTGTACATGATAACATGTGGTTTTATATCATCTATTCGTTTCTCATTGTGTCCTTTCATATTTGATCCAGCTTCCTTGGCCTAGATCCAAGGCTCTGACACTAGGCCCTAGGCCCTAGGTGTTGAGGAGTCCCAGGAGGTTGATGGCTCTCGCACTGAGGAAGTCCCTGCCAGACACCGCAAAGGAAGCGATGTCGGTTGTGGTCGCTGTTGGGGGTTTGGGTTGGAGGCTTGGACGTAGGTTTTTTTAAGCTTGTAATGCGGGCATAGTAATACCATCCTGTACTACCCAACAGCAGGCTTACCACATAATTTGTTGTGAATGTAAGTAAGGGGGGTTGTAGATTGCAACTGCTATCCAACTGCTTGATCTTTTGTCAGCTGTCCATGTCAGACGCAAGGGTCGTGAACGTTTTCTCAGCAGATTTCTCTTTCAGTTGAGCCTCAGATGTCACACGGGTTTCTACACCTCATTCTTATTATCCACAGGATGGCCATCCCATCAATGTCGAATGGGATCCCCCAATGTTGAGACCCCCCAATTTCCATACTGCTCAGGGGGTTCCTATGGGAGAGGTATTGGTCAGCCTGTGATTTGTCATTCAGATAGAATGAGATACAACTACTTTTGCAATCATTTAGCATTTCTTATTAGCCACCAATTGACATTCAAGAGACATTAATTATACAATTTGTTGTTCTTGACCAAATTTAAACTCAGAAAACTGAAACAACATTTTCACCAACAGAGAAACGTCAAGTTCTACCAATCTCCAGCTTTTCACGGATCAACCCTTGACCTCGCAGGAAGTCTTCGTGGAGGTCTACCCGAAGCTCAGCAGCTGCTCGGAGGCCTTGCGTCGGCAACTCAGGCGATGGATGGAGCCACGGATGGTTTCAGATGTGGGTCGAATTCGTTCAGATTGTAGATATGGTTTTCATATGTGTTGATTTGATTGGTGGTGTTTGCATGTAAGTCAGGTGCAATCTGATAATCAGACCCGAACCATTTGAAGACACATTGAGCATCTGGCTTTGACGCTGAGCTGTCCCTGAGGTGAGACATGCCCCCGGATGCAATCAGAAAGAAGGTTCTGAAGGGCCAAGGGTTGTGGCAATCAGATGGGCGCTAGACATGATAGGACTAGAAGAAAATGAGTCAAGTTATGATCTGTGTTTTGTTTCAACAGTTTTCTTTACACACTATGCTGTAATAGGGTTTGAGTCATCACAGGCGTGATGCAAACAAATTATTTGTGTGCGGGGATGTTGCTGATGTTGCAATGCTTGTGGTCGTTGCAAGAGCTTTTGGACAGATATGTGATGAATTGTGATGATATGTCCCATAGGATCCATGTATGCTATATATATGGTAACATTTACCATCAATACCCCAAATGTTAGCATATATACCATACATGGATCCTATGGGTGTATACACCAATTTCCGGTGTATTGATGTCAATTCACTCCAAGAATCCTCTGCCCGAAGGCCGCACAATACATCAGCAGACTTCACGGATCCAGTCGTATGGCATGGCGCTCGGTTCTGGGAGTCATGCAATGCAGTTTAAAAACATTGCTCCCAACCAACGGGTCGTCATGCAAGACCAACCGGGTTGAAAAAATGCAAGGAAACACTGTGCTGGAAGCCAACAAGAATTGATATACTGTACCTGAGCCGCCTGCTTGCCCAGTACTCCCTCAGATTAATGGTGTTTTTTATTGTTGCCTGTAGCGTCATTCAGCACGATCGTTCCCACCTGAACCTTGTTAGAGTGGCTAGAAATGAAGGTCCCATCATACCCCATCTAAGCTTCGCCATTCCCATATATATATATATATTTCTTCTAAAGCTCTACAACCTTAGTGACAGAAATCTACGATTAGCCTATCTTAGACTAGCATAGATTGCCATGCCCATATATCTACAAACTGTTGTTTTGAATCCCAATGTTTGTTGCTAGAGGTTGCTTTAAGTCATTTAGTGGCTTGGCATCTAAGGCAGCCATGAACCGTTTATCCCACCATGCCCCACCCAGGTTGCTGGGCTTCGCTCCACCACACGCCCTGCGCGAATGGCTACAGCATGAGGGGCTGGTCGTGGAGGCTGGCAAGTCGCCACGTGTGGGAAGTGGGTGGTACTTGTGATGTGGTTATTTCACTTGGCAATATCGAACCATGGGGGTATAGATGTGGCATATCAAACCACAAGATATATGATTTTTTGTTTCATCATGTCGCTTCTCCTTGGTTCAAGGATGCGCAAGTGGTGTTCCACACGAGTAGCCAGACACCATGAAATTGGTATGTGACAATGTGGGTCCGTGAGTTGGGATTGTAGGTGGCTTTTACTTGTCACACCTTGATTGCTCTCACTGCAGCAGGTTTCTGACCAGCAGCTGGATGACCCTGTAGTGGTTTTGTTTGATGTCACTTCAGCATGGCAGGTGCACGATCGCGACCCCAAGGACAAGGTGCGGGATGCATGTGTGGCGTTGGGTCACTTGAAACCCGGTATGTGTGGTCTTTTTTTATGTTTCATCATGGTTCCCACCAGTCACTTTATCACTTTATAAACTATATAAACTATCAGCAGTGAGAAAAGGAGTGACTCCAAGTATAGCAACTCCAAATTTAGATAGAAACTCGGAAATCCGGAAAGTCTGAAGCAGATATCATCTACAACATCCTGGAAAGGGGCTTCTATGCTATCCTATCTTTTTGGGGGGTCCCGGCTTTATCCATGCGCTCGCCCTGCCGCCAAGGTTGTGCCAGGTGGTGAAACCATTGAGCGCAAGCCAATTCATCACCATGGTTGGGGTCTCAAACCTGAGGGTTTGGAAGTTGGGGAGTGGCTATCATTGCTTGCCCTATTGAAGACCCTACATATGGGACACCAAAACGCATAGATCTAGTACTGACAAAGGGATGTCTAAGGGTTATTTTACATTAGGATTAATTATTGGGGGGATGGATTTGTAGGGAAGACGCTTTGTTGTTGGTTGGATTGGTTGAGGGCTTGGCAAGATAAGCGTTTTTTACACCTGGTTTTGATGATGCGCCTCAAGACTATGGAAGACAGAAAGAGTGCTCATGGTTGAAATAATCAGTCACAAAGTCCTGGAGAGTCTGAAGACTTTTTCGCCAACATGTTTAATACCCATTCTTAGAGACTTTGTTTGAAAGGACAATAGTTTGATGGCTGCTTGGTGTGGGGAATTCGTTGACGGGAGATATGCCTTGCTCTCACCAGGTGTGGCTCGCTTTCCCTTGGGGCCTCTACTGGAGTTGGAAGCTCTGAGTTTTCCTGGGATGACTTGGGAAGGACTTGGATGACCTAGGGATGGATGGTAAGGATAAGGACTGTAAGGAGTTCCAACGTCTCAACGGTCAATAAGACTTCAAGAGTGAATGAGACAGACTGAAAAATGTCAATGTTTTGCGACTTGCGGATTTTTGAACATGGTTGAAGCATGTGGGTTTATTTGTGCACCTTGTTGAATGGGAATGCCCAATCAAACCACCTGTTTTACAGCAAAAGAAGCGATAGAGTCAGAGCAAGCGCAGCACTTCACCTGAAATTCATCGTGCAATCCTAAGCAACTCAGGCTGGAGACGTGCAGCCGGCTGCAGCTTAAGCCTTTCCATCGCTTGTGCTTTTGATGACCTGTTGACTTATTGAATGGATTTGGCTTAGGTGACCACTGCGACAAATTTGAATTTGAATCGTAAATTCATTGGCGATCAGCTTAGCACTATCCATTGAATATGGTGTTGCAGGTTTAAGTTCTTGATGATTTAGCCAACATTTCTGGCTCATGCCACATGCCATTTTTGTTGAAGATCACCTTCCAATCCCCCATCATTGCCAGGTTGGAGTTAGCGTTGCGCTCCGACGTGTGTCCCTTCCGTGGAGACAAGAAGAAGCGACGGGTTCGGAGACCTCAGCAAAACGGAACGGAGTGGAGGCAGTCTTTTCAAGGTGGATGTGGTCAATTCAGGGCTGCCTCAAGAAAGGTATGATTGATGGTGATTGTTCATTTTTCGAGTTATTTATTCGTTGACTTATGCTTCATCAAAACGATGCTTTCGAAGAGCCAAGAATATGATGTCCCTCAAGCAGTTCCTCGGTACCCCATTTGCTGAGGCCGAAGCTTTGAGTGCAGACCTCAGGTGGTCGTACTTTGCAAAGGGCCCAGGTGATGAGAACCTCCCAGAAGATCCCAGAAGCGTCGCATATCGCCCCCATACCAACCCCAATAGTGTTGAGAATTTGCGGGAAGCTTATGGGAGTAATTAGTGGATGTCCCTGAAAACAATCCAGCAACTCAGTTGCTTTCAGGGTGCTTCACCTCTGATGTTGATATAACTAACATCCTTGGATGGCCCTGGATCAAGTGGATAGCGAGACATCATGCCTAAGATCTTTCAGTTGGAGAAGTGTTGATATCTCTGAGGTATAGATAGCTTGCATGCCTCTGGACTTCTGGATGAAGAAGGCCGGGTTTATGTTGCAACAATCTGCAGCAGTCGGGCAGACAGTTGTCTTATGGTGAAGACTGAGACTACAGGGGCGTTGTAGCCCATGGGTTTTAAATGCAGCATGTGTTTGCATTTTCAAAGTTATTTTGAGATGCCGAATTAATGGACCACAATTCCCTTCCTCATGTAGTGTCCATCCATCTCCCCCATGCGCGATTAGGACGCCAGAAGATGGCACGGCGAGAAGGCAGGAGAAAGCTGACAGATAGAAGTAACAGCGGATCAGGAAGGATTGGGTTCCCCATGCCATCCGAATCCATGTAGGGCCTATGTTTCCCTACATGTGTTTAGGGTAAGAGTGGTAACTGTAAGACAAGCTAAGGGCCATACTTGTGTGATTTGGGTTTGTGATGGATTGTTTTTCCTGTCTGCACGGAGTTGCAATATATATATAGTCTAGTAGAGAGACACAGCTAAGACACTCAAAGTACCCATAAAATGTATATGTTAACATATTATTTTAACATAATGGTAACAGTACCCAGCATGTGTGTGTTGCCCCCAGACTCTTATGTTGGTGGCACCAGACTTATTCAACGTGTGGGGTAACATGCCGAGTTTTGTAGGTAAGTGAAGTGTCCAGATAGGGATAACTTGGTTTCAGCGGTCCCCTCGAAATGAACAGCAACCGGAGCTCGTTCAAGTTCTTCAAGCCATCATCGCCCTATGGTCCTGCATCTTGGAGGCCTTGACAAGCGAGAGGATACCACCGACTATCACTCTCTGGGCACTGTTTGTGACTCAGTCCGCTTTAAATATGTTTGGTGTGTTGGGACTGGCAGTGGCTAGTTCACATCATCAATGGCACTTCCAAATAACTAAGGGTCTTTGGCCTTTACTGTAGGGATTTCGGGACTGTGATTGTGAGACCTTTGGCCCTGAACCATCCTCGACCTCGCGAGTGATAATATGACATCTTTGGAAGATAGTACTAGAACTTGTTCAATTTTTATCGTCCCAAAGTCAGTCTATCAGTGAGCTGCTGTCATTCTCCAAGGTGTGCACACTTCGAGCTGCTCTGGCAGTTCCAGTGCCCAAGTCTACCGGAATTGATGCATTCCTTCGCCTCTTGAGTAGAACAGGTGACCAGTATTTCATATGGAATTTGCCGTTTGCATGGATGCATTATTAGTCGATGCTGGAGCGCGTGTTGTTTTTTTTATTGATCAAATTTTGGTCACCAAATGATAATCTTACTTTGTGCTTTCGGTCCTTGTTTTCCACTGTAGTCACCATTCATTGCCCCATAGCAATAGCCGGGCCGAGACATGTGCGGGAGGTACCAAAGCACCTTCAAATCCAGGAGGAAGAGGAGCAGGTGTTTGAAGAGCAGTTCAGCCTGTTTCATCAGAAACCATAACCCCACAGAGAATTGCGTCTTAGGTGTTTAGTGCCATGACAATGGGGGATTTGGGTCTTCCGAGGGGGGCCAACACCCCATTAAGCAGTAGCCAACCAGCGGAACTCATCGTTGGGTTTTGACCATTGCTAAGGAGTTGCTTTGTGGTTTGACCAGTGGTGTTTGTTTCATCCCATGACTGAGAAAGTGACCCCAACTGATTTTTGTGGAGGCTATCGGAGGCTATGCTATGCGGCAACCACCTAATTATGACATTATGATTGAACTTGTGTGTTTTATGGAGCCGGTGATTGCAAAACCACCTTGCTGACATTCTTTGACTCCTTCGTGCTGCAAACCTGTCCCCACAAACGGCCAAAGGAACTCTGGCCGATTGCGTAACCTTTTGTCATCTCAGTGAATTTCAATTTCCACGCCCAAAGATGGAATGATGATTCCACCACCAGCAATTCATTTCTCATGGTAGTGGCATGGTTTTTGTTGGTCACTGGTCAGTTGCCCAGCCACAGGTGCATCACAAACACTGGGAAACCACTGAGCATGCCGCCGGCGAGGGTCATGTCTTCTCCCCAGAGTCACAGGGTTGGAGTTTGAGCATTGATCAAATGTGTAGACCTTGGAGAATTGTATTCTACCGCGTGACTATTTTAGCAAAACACATGGAGGAATGCACGATCCAGTCTTGGGTGAACAGGTTTGGGGGGGGCCAAACTTTCCCACTTCATGGTCTACAGTGTCTACAGAGTCTACTGAAACCAGGGGAAGCAGATGGGATCAACATGGATCAACAGATGAGTCGATGACACTGCAGGTGTTCACAGCCAAGAACCTGCGTTCTCAGCCATCGGTGGGATTCTCATTGGGTACATTTGGAAGGACCATGGACCATGGTGCTGTGCTGGAAAGGGCGAGACCAGAAACATGAGAACTTTCAGGGCATATGAAATACCATTCCAGGAAGTCAAGAGCTGAATTGGGTTGATAAGTAAGAAATAGTTTGCAGATATTGATTTCACATCTTATTTCCCGAAAAAGAACCGTGGAGTGATGTGGAGTGTAAACGTCTAGGCATGTCTAAACCAATGTAGGGATGGGTCAACACCTATTTTGATGTTCACCACGGTACTGGCCCAGTCTCCCTCGGCCTCACCGACGAAGTGGGCGCCGAAAGCGGAGCCGTGCCGCGCGAAGGTGGGTGACGCCCGGGGCCCTGGCAGCGACGGTGGTGGGCCTTTGGCGATGTACACAAGGGCAGAAGATGACAAGTTGAGACATGGTGAAATGTCTTGACACCTCTTGAATCTTGAACCATGTTTTTGGATGTTTTTGGATGTTTTTGGCATTTTTTGATCTTGGGCTTGGGGTTTGCCCCAACTTCCAGCAATTATCTTGGGATGGATGGCGGGGTGGGCAGTGTCACCTGTTTAAGTAGAAATTGAAAGGGATGCTGTGGCTATTGTTCCCCATGCATGTAAGGGAGGAAATGTCCCTTCAACGCCCCAGATCAACGAACACCCAACCCTACCAATTAAGGGGGTCTTTGATAGTTTGATCAAGGGAATCTTGGGCGGTCCCCAGGACATAGGTAACTTCCCAATTTCAGCCCTAATCTGGGTCCCAATCTGGGTCAATCAACAAGAACCACCACGCGTTTATTGCTTTTCTCAAACCATCTCGGGGAGGGGGTTCCCATCTCCAGGCTGTGGGGCCTTGGAGGCGCAATCAACAAGAGGCTGCTGAGGACATTGCATGTTGTAAGGGCAGTGGGTCATGGGTCCTGTTGAAGGGGAGAGGTGCTTTTAGAGTGTTTGTGTTGTTTCTGCTCGATGGCTTTGCTCAACTCGCAGGAAAAAATGTATCGGCTGATCAAAGGCAACTTCAGCTCAGAAGTCATTTGCCAAATTTATATGTTATATTTTTTATATAGGACTAGTCTTTGATGTGAATGGCATGCTGCCCGCGGAAGCGAGGACAATGGGTTTGTGTGGCCTGCGCTTTGCTATCGCTTTGTTGGTTTCATGCCCGGACTTTTGCAAAGCCTCCTCAAGTATCTGCGAAGCCTCGTCTATGCTGGCAGGTTAGCAACTATGGGCGGTGTAAAAAAATGAGTGGCACGATTTCGCATGGTTGCCGGGCAGCATCTGGCTACCGCGTAGTGATGATAGAACGGAAGGTCTACATGGTTCATCGCCTGGTTAAGTTTGCTTTTCACGGGCCTCCTCGGAATGACCAGGCATGGCAAGTGAACCATTTGGATGGCAACAAGTCGAACAATCACTTGGACAATTTACACTACGCAACCCCAAGTGAAAATTCGAAGCACTCCTTTGCCAGCGGATCGAGGCAATGTGGGGGTCTCAAACTGTCCATGCCAGTGATGTGGAGAGCTTTCGGGGTGTCAAGATGGACTACTAGCCCAGCCATTACAGCGGCAGCAAAATGTTTGGGTTTCAGCCGGCATACCGTTTCGAAGTGCTGTCACAAACAACGGTCAGCCAAAGGTATTGAGTTTCAGTTTGCACGTGAAACTTCAAGTCTGGGCTGTGCCGACCCTGAAGCCTGGAGGACGATTCGCGACCCAAGGTCGGGAAATGTGTGTGGTGGCAGACAGGTAAGTTCCCTTGGTCGTTTGAGGTTGAGAGGTGGCCGGATTTCCAAAGGGTCAGAAACTGCAGAGGGATATTTTGTCACTTGCTTGCCTTGTTTGCAGCAAAGGCGTGTTTTTGTGCACCGTTTGGTCGCAGCAGCTTTCCTTGGAGACCCACCCAGCCCTGAGCGCACACACATCAATCACAAGGATGGGGATAAGCGAAACAACAATGTTGACAATCTCGAGTATGTGACGCCTGCAGAGAACAAAGCTCACTACCACGCTAATGCAATTTGCCAGCGTGGCGGGTCCGATGTTAAGGCAGTTGAGAGCAGAGTCAGTGGCGGCGGCCGTGGCCGGTGGATCTGGCATCGTTCTATCAAAAAGGCGGCAGAAACGTTAGGCGTCGATTCTAGCAACATTTGCAAGAGCATCACCGGATGCCTTAGACAGACAGGCGGCTACGAGTTTAGATTGTCAGCCACCAATGCCGCAGAAGATCTTCCAGGTGAAGAGTGGCGGGATGTCAACCTCACCCTGCACCTCCGAGACAGAGCGGCGCGAAGATGAACTCCGAAGTGATGTTGGGCAGTTCTTGGCTTCAAGATGGCGGAGAGTATGGTGCTGATCACATGGAGTGATGTTGTTTCTTGTAGTTCTTGTTTGGCACACTTGCCTCAAGGATCTGGTCGGCATGCTTTAGCCTTGTGCATATTCTGCTCAAAAACTGGAGGAAGAGATGTTTACTTTGTGCTTTGCCTTGCTCAAACAACTAAATTTCCTAATTATGCAGCATGGCCTTCATGATCCCCTAGATTTTTCCTTTTCTGTCATACCAAACGCCCCAGCCCTTGGACTCAGCGCCTCCAATGTGCCTGGGTCCAAACTCCGGGGTTCCTTCGTGCATTTTGGGTAGATCCCCAACCATGAAGTTACACGACATAGAGGTTGCAAGATATGGAGATATTATCCGATGCTAAGTTGAAAAGGAAGAAGGCATCAGCAAAAATACATCTCCAGCAATATATTCTCCATTGCTGTTTGATACGCTTTCCCACCAGCATATTTGTGCAGCGGATGTGTTCTGAACTGCCTTGATGCAAACATGTTTCCTATAGTCTTTCCACCCATCTTGACCCAAATATCCCACCAATTTGCCACTCTCAGGTTCCAAGCCACCCACCACACCACAGAGACGCTTTGCATCCAGGACGAAGAAAAGTTGTTGGCGTCCGAGGACCTGGAGCACACGCAGGCTCTTGGGATGGATGTGGGGCCCTTGGTGGAAGCTGCCATGGTTGGAGGCGGAGTGAAGTAGCAAAAGCTGGAGGACAATGACAGAAGCCTCCAGAAGTATATACCGTGTTCGTTTTTGATGGCAACTTTGGATTGCTTTAGGTGTATTGTTGGTGCTGGTTGTATGTATCAAGCTAGGAGTTGAAACAGAAGCATTTGGAATTTTAAACGGAACAAGAAAGACATCAGTCAATGAAATAACCATTTGCACAATGAGAAGAGCGCCTAGCCAACACATGTATTGAGACACACTGTTGAAATGGGAAACTGTTCAGTTGATATTTCTTTTTGCCTTCAGCCCTCAGTTTCAAACAATGTGTCGCTTGGGTGAGGTTTGTCAGGCCCTTATTGCGGAGCTTCATGCATCAACCCCCACGTAGCATGCCAATGAAACTCCCTGTTTACATGATTTTGTATGTATGTAGGCATCACCTTTCCATGATTCAACAACATCCCTGGCAAAGCTAGCAATACGGAATGAAGCTATATAGTCACTGAAGTTTTTTCCGATCCTTCCCACCCCTGCTCTATATGTTTCTACACTTGAACCACATGACCCCATGCAGTGTTCAGCAACGGTTACATCTACGATATGCTTAGCATGTTTGTCCGACTTATGTTTAAGCAAATAAGGCTCCCACACAAATCTTTATTGGAGGCTTTGATTGGGGAGATGTTCGGAACCTAAATAAAAACCAAGACCAAGCATACAGTCCCTCGATATAGCTGGAAAGGTAAAAGTTGCTTGACAGCTCAACCTTTAGTCCGACACCTGTTCGGGCCAGGCTATCGCCCAAGAGTTGATAGATGCCCGGCACTTGGAAGGACCTGAATTTAATTAGTTTGCTATGGATTCACGCCTACTGGGGGTTAGTGGAAGAAATGTTGTTTCTTTTGTTCCGTTTCAATTTGGTTGCCTTGGGCTTGATGCACTTTGTGGAATTGAATGCGTTTGGAGTTTAAAGATCGTGAGTTGATCGGGCATGTTGGGACTGCAATTATGCTGTTGGTTGAGTTTTTGAGAGCTGATCTGTTTGGAACAAGCCGTGAGTACGCAGCAATATGTAGTGCAAATAGTGATTGGGTCGAGGGTCACAACATGCAGAAGATGTTTGTTTGTCAGCTCCGTGTTTGGGTAATATTTTGTTTGTGTTGTGGAGCCTTCTTTTCCATCAGCGACCAAGGCCGCTCCGACTGGTGCGAGCAGTGGTGTGGATCTCAAACTGTGTTTCCAGCTGGTAGAGGGTAGCGGGTACCATTAAGATTTGTGCACGGATGTTTGAAATTTGATTGCATATCTCTATGGAATTGAACGCGCCACCCACAACATCCCACAACCATGTTTACATTCAAATAGAAAATTCAAGATGCCAGGCTCAAGAGCTTCTTCAGGGGTGTATATAATGTTGCAATGGCCACTGTTATCTTGTCAGCATGGCACCGAACTGCTGGTCTTCACTTTGTAGAAAAGGCATGTATGTTTAGGTGCCTGTCCAGCGAAGTGCGGCAAACATTGAGACTACATGGCAAGCGCTGGCAAGTGAGTTCTGAGGGGCGGTTGTGCAATACTAGGGGTCAAATCTCCTATGGAACTTTGCATGCATCTGGCTATCGAACTGTGCATATCAATGGGCAGAATTTCATGGTCCATCGTTTGGTCAAGTTCGGCTTTCACGGCCCACCCCCTCATGAGCTTGTTTGGCAGGTGCACCACATAGACCGCAACGCGTCCAACAATCGCCTTCACAACTTGGAATATGTCACACCCAAGGAAAATATGCAGCAGACTTTCCAAAATCCGATGAGATGCTGCAGTGGGCCGAAGAACTCAAAGCCGGTGATGTGGAGAGCGGCTGGGTCTCAAAGCTGGACACACTGTGAATCGGTGACGGTGGCAGCGAAACAACTTGGGATGCACAGCACTACAGTTTCCAGGTCCTGCCGCAATGGTTCCTTGGCAAAAGGGTTCGAGATGCGCTTTGCAGAGCCAGGAAACGCAGAGCAACAAGCTGTGGAAGAGTGGAAGCCGATGAAGAACCCAAGAACTCGGGTGGCTGCTCCAGATAGAATGGTAAGCTCTTTGGGTCGGTTGAAGCTGCGAAATGGTCGAATTTCTGGAGGGCACCTGACGGCTCAGGGTTATGTTGTGACCAATTTGTCAGATTGTGGCAGTACAAGTTATACATACCTTCACCGTCTTGTGGCAGCTGCCTTCCTCCCAGAACCACTAACTCAACAGCACACACAGGTGAATCACAAAGATGGAGACAAGCGTAACAATAGGGTTGAAAACTTGGAGTACGTTACACCAGCGGAGAACATAAAACACCGTTTTGCCAAGGCAGGGACACCTGCCCACAAGTCAGCCGCAAAACCAGTTGAGAGCAGACCGTGTGACAGCACTTGCAATTGGAGATTGCACGCGTCCATCTCAGCTGCAGCTAACCAGCTCCACGTTAACCCTGGCGGAATTTCCCGATGCATTCGTGGGAAGTACAAACATGCAGGTGGATATGAGTTCAGGTTGGCAGTTCCACTTCCACAAGCACTCCCTGGTGAAGAATGGCGTGAGGTTGACATTGATGCACACATCAAGGACAAGGTCTCCAGATGCTCTTGGTGAGTGGAAATGCTGCGCGCAAATCGGATCAAATCGGTTTCTGGAGATAAATTTAGGCAATCTGCCCCATGCAGACAACTTGCCCCATGAAGACTGCATGTCGAAAAGCTGACTGAAAAGCACAAACATGTTGCAGATCCGGAATGGGCACCCTGTATAGTATAGGCAACAAGCGGGACAAAGCATCCCACAAAGTACCATATGCATCCATATGCTGCTTTTCATATTTGTTTCAACTTTCCACCAGGCTTTACATATACGTTTTTTGCTGCCACATCTTTCCCGAAAAGCACGTCTTGCACCCCCAGAGCTCAAGGCGACAAAATGAGATGGAGCACACGGACAGCTTAAACTGGCAGTACTCAATATGCATAGAGTACCCCAACCAGCAGATACCTGCACTGCTTGGCCTAGGCCTGGATTGCCGTTTTGAAAGGTATGGTCGGATCTTCCTGATGTGCACTGAAGCCAGGGGCCTTGGCATAGGTAAGTGGGACACTGCAAGCGAGTGGATGTGAGTGAGTATATGACCCCAAAAGTTCTACACCAAAAGCGCAGCAACTTTTGCGTTTGCTCATGTTTTACCATCTATTTTTTGGGTCAGCATGGGCCACCAGTACTTTGAGCCACATGCGTTTGTGGCACATGCCCAATGTCCTTGCTAAGAGGGGACAGGACTTCAGAAAAAAGCACGCACTACGGGTGAACATGCTCCCGTGAAAAATGAATCGACGCGAAGACATCTTTTTAAAAGAACGTTTCATTCCCAGAGCTGTTCACTTGTGCTCAGGGCAGTGACGGTGAGGTCATTCGTGCAGCCTGTTGCCAAGCATGGGAAGGGATATATTTTTTTTTGCTTCAGCTGTCGCAAACAGAACTATAAGACAGATTCAAAATCCTGCGGTAGAAAACGGCAGATACAGAACCATGATATGCATAAACAACTACCTTATGTATTCCTGTGTGCCTTTTTGTGAGAATGATGATTGAGCATATGCAACGCTAACGGTGTTATTCTACAGTAGTTGCTCTTCGACTTTCCAATGTTGGACGCCAACAGGTTGCCCAAAGCCAAGTCTTCGCCTCAGGTGCTAGGGACCTTCCATGGCCTCAATGCTGCGCTGCTGGGGCTTGGCCCAGAGGACCTGAGGGTTTGGCTGGAGCAGCATGGATTGGAGATGAAAGGATACAAGGTGGTGCCCCAGAATGGCTGAGTGGTGAGCAAGTTTGTGACTCCAACAACTAGGGCTTATAGATTTTTCGCGATTGGAACTATAGTCAGATGATGTGAGATGGGGTTAGTTATAACTTAAACCTGGGGGGCAACATTTTGTAAAAACTGTGACCAGGGCTAAAGCGGAATGACATCCAGTGGCTGTTTCACTTCACATGTTCCACTTGGAACCGCCAATGGAGATAGAAGCAGTAAACAGCAGTTCCAGCATGCCCCACTAATTTCTGTGCAGGATGGTGAGTTCAAGTTGCGTGAGTTGTGGAGCGCTGAGAAGTGTTTCTCCTTTTTGTCGTTTTTGTTTCCCTTTTCAGACTGTGGTGACCAAATGTGACAAATCCTTCTTATGTTTTTGCATTTTGCGCAGGTGCTGTGTGATATTGCTCGGTGCTCTTTTAAAATTATTACGGGCGGACTTGTTCGAGTTACAGTCAGATTGCTTTAGAGCGGCAACTTTCCCAACCTTACCTTAACATTTTGCGATCCTAAGGTCGCAAGAAGAGCAAGAAGATCCTCATTTAGCCAAGGGCTTGGCTTCGTGTTCATTTTATAAAATGGTTCCCATGTAGACTCAGGCTTTGAAGGCATGTTGTGCATTCAAAATGTTTGCCCAAAAAATGCAGAGGGGTTAGACATGTCAACTCGTGTGATTGATGCTTCTGAAAGTGTGAGGCACTCGTTTTATATGACTTGTTCATTTTTGTCATGGGTCACAGAATTCTGGGCACAAAAGGATCTACGACACTATGAAAACCTAATGTCACGGCATCAAATGGACGGAAGGCATTGAGCGGTTGGCTTTTCAAGTGGTGTGATTTTCCCGGCACCGATGCTTTGCTGAGGATTTGCTCACGGGATTCTGCATCTTAGATGGCCGTGGGGCGGCCCTGAGATGCTGACAGCTGCAGTTTGATGACAAGGACAGGTGCTTTGGACATGATAATACAATCAGTAATACCTCCGAGCTATGTATTTCAAATGCGTATGGGGAAATCTGGTTCACTTTGATGCTAAACCACAATATTGTCTGCATATGGAATTTCGCTTTCCATGGCTAGCCAACAGGAGATTATACAGAGCTTGTAATTGGACAATTGTTACAGTAGGGAACGGAGAGAAGATGTGTCCTCGCTTCCGAGGATGTGTGGAAGTCGGAATGTTCCTGTGTTTTGTATTTGCTTGATCACACTTGCAGGATGTGTATTGATTGTTTAACGGTTTAACGAATCTGTTTTGTCCATATTTGATTGTGTTTTCTGTTGCAGGGCCCAGGTTTTTGTCCCACAACACTGATTAGACACCTCCTCGCCAAATTTGCTTTGAGGTTCACGTTACTTCGTGATGGAAGGCAACTTCTTGTGAAAGTCATGGGAAGGAAGCCGTTTTGCAACTTGGTTAGCGGTGGAAAAAGCATGCTTGCTAGTTGGGTTTGTCAAGAGCAAGTCTCACTGTCTCACTATTATTTGTGTGACCACGAGTTCCATAATCTTATATAAGCTTTCATCATGTACCCCAGCAGGCCTCCAGCCACCCCAAAAACAAGGAGCTTAAGTTTGACCATTTGATTTGTCCTGTATTCCGTGCTATTTAGCGAGCATCAAGCTAAGTGGTTTATATTTTGTCATGAATGTGATGTTGCATGGTGTTGCGCCGCTCCTGTTGTCAAGCCAGTTGGTGTCACAGGGTTGCTGGAGATGGTGTTTCAAGACACGCCATCGGACGGCATCATGTTTTTTCATGTTTTTTCCATCCAAAAAGGGCCAACCGCCCGAGATGGCACGAGTTCGCATCCCACAATTCTCATGGCCTTCATGTGTTAAAACCTTTGATAGCCGCAGGTCTACGTGAAGGCCATTCCTGGCCGCAGTTGTTGGAGGTGCAGATCTCCAGCTGGGGAGTGGGTTGATGTTTGCAGATGTTTGCAGGTTCAAGGCTCTTCTGGTGGCAGATTAGTTGATTTATTTTGTTGGGGTCTTCATGTAGTAACTCAATCACTTTTATTTGGATCTTCATGTAACTCAATCATGTTGCACACCCCCATGCGCACAACACAACGATGTCACAACAGCCACAGCTGGCGATTCAGTTGGTCCTGCAGGTCATCCCACGGGGTCCAGATGCTCCAAAGTTGTGTGGAGACCCAGCAAAACAGACAGAGCTGCTGCCAGCATTGCCATTCTGGGAAGCTCAGCAAAGATCAGCAAGGTAAACTATGCGTTGTTTTTTTGGGTGAGATGGTTAGCACGTTCAACTGTTAACCATTGTTCATCTTCAATATTCTTCAATGTGTTTTTACTGAGACGCTTCCGTGGCCAAATTTTGTAAAATGTATAAAGATGTTGCTTTTCTTTCTGGAGCCCTGGCCACAATAGCTTTGTTTCCTAGAACTGCATTGAAACAGACTGTTGAATAAAAATAGTGGACAATTGAAATTGATGCAGGGGTCCTGAACCTGCAGCCGTGCCCACGGCATGTGGGAACCGCATCCCAAAGACTTGTGGTTTTGCTGGCGGTCGCTGGTGAGGTTGCACAACTCCAACATCGGCTTCGGAGAGAGGTGCCAGTGCCATCGGTGGGAGTACTGGCGCCAGGAAAGTGCTGGAGTGAATTTATCGTTCTCGCCTGCGGTAACTTTTCCAAGTCATGCAAGTTTCGAATGAAGGGACTGCTCCAAAGACTTCAGGAAATTACATGAAATTACCATTTGTGGGTTATACCGTATATCTTTCGGTAAAGGGGTGGAATTCGCATCCATTGTTGGCCAACTCTTGCACCACAATACCATATTCACCATGAATTCATCTCACGGCCCAACATACAACACCACATCATCTACATCAACTGAATCTCAGGGCTCAAGGTCTCCAGATTTTTTCCCCAAAATCTTGGCGTGTTTTTGAACGTCCCATGGCTCGCGCTTCCATTGTGGGCCTGACCCTGGCCCTGGCGGCCGTCGGCAGCTGCTTCCTGGGTGGGGTGCCCACGCAGCCCCCCAGGGCCCCGCCGGTGCAAAGCCACGTGGAGTCCCTGGGAGCGGCGCCAACGCAGAGCCAGAGCGAGGGCGGTTGCTTGGGCCACAGCTTATATTTCGCATCATGTTTCGTTAAAGAAAATATCTGACAGTACAAAGAGGGGTACAGAAAAAGGGGATCCACTTCAACATAACAATATATCATTGATGATAGTTTACGAACTTTTGGTGGGATGAACCAGCTATACCAGATATATTGATGTGAACAGTTTATCGTTGATCCATACACATTTAGCTTACAAAATCTATGTTGTTGAGTTTGCAAGGTTCGCGATGCAGAACAGCAAGCCAATGGCAATAAGCGGACCTAATATGTTCCACCATTTCGGGCAGGGTTAAGCGTCACCTTTTGTTCTGGAAATAGGTTTCTATCCGAATGCATGTTAAACCATGGTTATGCTTGCTCAATGCGTGTGCTTATCCAAGTTTATCTGTTTTCTTCTCCAAAAAGGTCATCTCCATTTTGATTGCCAAATACGTCTATTTAGTGTTTCATGATGTTATATTTTGTTTCACATGTTTTAATGATCTTTCACATGGTTGTTCTAATCCACTATAGGTGAATCATAGCCACAAGGAAGGACAAAAATGCAAGTTTACCTCTTCACTTCCCAAATTCCTCCCCTTTGAATCATTTTAAATAGATGGCCAATAAACAAACCCTTCATAGTGGATGCTGGTGGTGAATAAACATTATATAACATTATGTAAAATCCTCAATTGTTGGTGCTTAGTTAATAGTAAGTATATTGTACAATATATAATATATTCTATTTATATATATATTATCATAGAGGCACCATGAGGCACCATAGCAATCCAAGGCTCCTGGGCCTCGTCCCTGCTGAGCTTCGGCGCCGCCCTGGGCATCGTCTTCGGCCTGGTGGCCGCGCAGCCGGCGAAGGCCATCACTGCGGAGCAGTTCAGCCAGCTGACCTACGCGCAGGCCAGGAGATGGTGCTGCCCCGGAGAGGTGCAAGGTGGTGCCCCAAGTCGTTAGCAACGTTGGGTGCAAAGAACTCCAATTTCACTGGGGTTTATGGTGCATATAGTTTTTGGTTAAGGGGGGGTTGAAACCAACAAACATAATTGGGGGGGCACCATTCTGTGGTGATGGTTTAGCCACTTTAACCTAATAAACCAAGGGTGATACAGCCACTTTAACCCAGGTTGAAGTGTTTTAAATTATGATCAAGGGTGATCAGCTGATAAAGATAGGTTATATCTGAGACATGGTGATTTTGCCCACTATTCCTAGAATTGGTGGTTGCGATGGTTGAGGACGATATGTCAAGAGAAAAACATGGTAAGCAAGGTCCTGCTAAATTAAACAACTTCAACTATATAATGGTTTGTTGAAGGGGAAGTAGGGGATGATTTGAACCACAAGACTTTGGATTTAGATATGAACAACATGATTGGACAACAACACATGTGATTTCATAACCAAGAAGTGGCAATTCATAACCATATCAAATGATGTAACATATATAGAAACTAGACCTAATGGTGACAGATGAGATTTCACTCGCTGATTTCATTGGGAAGTACTACTCAGGTGAGGGGCTCCGGCTTGGCCAATCGATGCCCCACGGTGGAGTCCAATGGAACTGAGGTGCCTGTGACTTGGCTCGTGGCTCTTAAAACGAGGGTTGTGCATTTTTTGGGGGGTAGGGAAGAGACATCCTCCATGCGGATCCATGTGGGGGATCGAAGTGCTGGAACATGTGAATCGAGTGAATTTGTTTTTTTCCCATTTGCAGGTCGGTCATTTGGGGAATTTGAAGCCCACCCTAAAGCAAAGATATGATATGATTTTCCAACTGCCGTTGAGCAAAATTTCCAAGGTGAAACCTGGATCCAAGATGATCAATGTGTGCTTCGAGCCCAAGTCCTTTGCGGTGGAGATTGATACCGACAATGGCAAGGAGAGGGTGGGAAATGGCCCTTGAGGGATTGTGATTTGTGAAACATCTGCCAACATGGTTGTTGGCTTCTGATTGCTGGGTGATGAAAACATGTACAGGTTCTGAGATAACTAGACTTACCATCAACAAAACCATTTAATTATTTTTAATAAATTAACTAATTAGTTAGTTAGTTATTGTTTTGTCTCCACAATGGCTAGGGTAACGTCTAGAGACTATGGACCATTGCTCCTCAGGAGTTCGCCACCACCAAGTTGACCACTCGTCAGACCTACACCTTGGCCTTCATTGAGGGCAACTTGGAGCCTCGAATGCAAGTTCCCAGGGGTTTAGATGGATTTGGGTGGCTTCATCATTAGAGTTCATCATCATATACTGATTTGTCATGAGGAAGACAGCATCGACAACGAAAACAGCCTGAAGATCTTTCTTGACGTTCCTTTTAACTAGGTTTGGCAGGAAGTCGATGGGGAAATCTCATGAAATCTCCTTGAGGTTTTGTGGCTTGCCTCGAACCTCAGGCTCCAAGTAAGTCAACATCAGTGCTTGCTCGTTCTTTTATTTTCCTGTGGTCGTCCATGTTGTCCCAAAATCGAACACCCCAAAACATATCATAGTTAATCGTCATGTTTCTTCATTGCCTTACATTTGCAATTTTTGGATGATTAAAGTTGGATATGTTTTTTGTTTGGGTTTGCATGGTATGTCACCTCTTCTTGGACTAACATGGACTAACCCCAGATCCACCGTCCCTTCATGCTGCAATCCTCGGTTTCTGAGGATCCTAATCCCATCACCTTCAAGGAGCAGGACGGCATGGACTTTGCCGCAACCACCGTCAAGCTGCCCGATGGCGAGTACGTGCCGTGGAGAACGAGATGGTTTGATGGGGAGAGTTTGGTGTAGTTTATTTGGAGGAAACGAGAAAGTTGATGGATATTGTTGTGGGAAAACTGTTTGATGGCCCGTGTACTTTTTTTCCGCCCTGATATCCTCTATTTTTTATGGACTTTGGAATGTGAACTGTTGATTGGGTTCTGTCCAGTTTTGTTGATTTTCGGTTGGTAGGAGGGGTTGTTACCATGATAGGGCAGAAGGAAGAAAGCTTGAGTTTTGCGCCTGGGGTCTTTCATTATTCATGGCTGAGTTCGTTTTGCACAGTTTATCACCAGCCGCTTTGATTAGCTGATTTTCAAACTGACAGGGACAAATAGTTGAGGATGCAAGCTGCTCAGATTGGCAGGGGACCACCGTGTTCGCAAGAATGGAATACTTCTTGTAACTTGGTTTCGTCAGATGCGTCCCAGTTCTCCCTTTGTGTGTTTGTTCCGTCTAGATAGCACCTTATGTCTCTTACACCCAACTCCCTTAAGTTTCACCCCAAATCCACGTCTGAATCATCACATTCCCCATAAACATTTGTCATCACTTGAGGGACCACCTTCCCATGTCAGCTGCAGCCGTGCCTAGGTGCCCTTCCTTTTCACCGTGAAGGAGTTGGTCGCGAAGGGCGAGGGCAGCTCCTTCAAACCCGGCTTCACCTGGGGTGGCGAGTTCAGCGTGCCATCCTACCGTACAGGTGGGGGGAATGGCGGCGGGGTGGGCCAGAGTGTATAGGTCTAGGTGATATGGTTGATGGTAAATCGGGAAGATGATGAAGGTTGACATCGACCACAGGTGCATGGGTATGTGTCTTGGATTTTTGCAACGCTATGACATATTTAACAGCGTGGAACTCTAAACCACACCATGTCTCAATGGCGCATGTCTCTTCTTTCTCAAAAGCACAAGAAGTATGAGTCCATTCTAAGAATCTTGTTGCAGCTACAGAGCACCCACATGTTGTGCTTGGATGTTGGAGTTCCAAGTCACCTTTACCTTAACCGGTCCCCTCCTTGGCCACCCGATGCCCTCCCATGACTTCAGGTGGTTTCTTGGACCCCAAGGCCCGTGGTATGAACTTGGGCTACGATCAGGCCGTGGCCCTGCCGGCCATGCAGGCGGATGGCAAGAGCGGACAGGAGGACATCTTCAAGGAGACCAACAAGGTGGGAGTTGGATTGATGCAGGGTTATTTTTCGGGGATTTTCTGGATTTTTATGGGCAACAACCAGGGATTTATGCGAGAAAACGTGGGATTCCTTATTTTCGGGATGGTTACTGTATATGATGCGAGATATAGAATAAACCGCATTTGAAATGGTGCTTGAATAAATAGTGTTTAGAATGTTTAGGGACCCAAACAAGTGATGCAATAAACCTTGATTAGGTAGATTGATGTGACACTTCTTTTGCCTATACCTGAGACAACACACCTGGCCACGTGCAGCCTTATACGTGTGCAGGTGTTCGACGTCGGAAGAGGCGCCATTGAGATGGAGGTGAACAAGGCGGGTTGTGTATAGCTCGGAAACCCATTTCTGGCTGGGAGGGGCGAGGTCCGGGCAAACTTGTTTGGCAATGATGTTATGAACCAGATGCCAGCTGTTGTGTGAAACAATAGCAGCATTGGTCAGACTTTTGGCCCATGTTTACGTTTGAAAGGCTGGCAGAAAAATGTATAACAAACACACCTATAAGCTACATTCTTTGTTTTCTTGTCCCACCAGTGTGTGGTTCATCACTTCATCCTGTTGTCATATTCATATCCCTTTCCCTAGGCTGTTTACTAATGGTTTTTAGTCCCATCCTATGTGGCCCTTGGCCCTTTACCTTACCTAAGGCGGAGCTATACGGTACTGTATACTGCAATACTGCACCCTGAACAGCTCATTTGCGGAGGAAACTATTTATCATAGGTGCCTTGCAGAGAGACCTATAGTACCTTCAACTTGAGTTGGCTACACCGTTTCACAGATTAATTCCCATTTCTGGCGACTTAAAACAGCCCATCCGACCATCAACGAATCATAGGTTTGTTTAAAACACGTGTTGCAACATTCTTGGATGTGCATCCCAGTGAGTGAGTGGCGTGTAACCCATAAAAAGCTTGGGTTATTTATATTTCATATATGGTAATTACCTACTTAAGATGACCGGGACGCTCACCCAAGGTGTAAGTCAGTTGGTGCACTCATCTCATCCAATTTTTGATTTATGAGTTGTAACCTCCAGTTAACCTACGTATAGTTGTAAACAAACTTACCTACTAGACTAAAAACCAACTCTCAATCCCCACTTTGTTGGTCAAATCATGTTTAAACACCCAATTTCCATCAATTTTTCTGGTCAAATTCCAATGTTCCATCATTTCTCCTGGTATCTCCTGGTTAAACACCATTTTTTTTTTCCTACCCAAAAAGATCCCCATGCCCATACCCCGTTCCCATCCCCCAACAGCAGGTGAACCAGGAGCTGGGCGAGATCGGTGGTGTCTTCGTGTCCAAACAGCCCAGCGACACGGATATGGGCGCCAAGGAGCCAAAGACGGTGCTGCTGAAGGGCATTTTCTACGGCAAGGTGCGGGCGGAAGAGCTATTTGGGGGGTGGTTAAACTGGTAATTCATGGGGATTTAATCGTGATTTACTGTAATAGGAATTCTTGGGATTTATAATCATTTATAAATATTTTATTGGGATTATTGTAATTAATGAATGATTTTTTTCCAACAAGATCTTAATGAATGATAGTAATGAATGGGGATTAAGTGGGATTTGAATTCGAGTTTTTTCGAGGAAATGGTGAATGAGGATTTGATGGTGATTGGAATGGTGGTTAGTGGCGTAATGGGATTTAATGGAATTCGGGTTAGATCTGGGGAGATTATGTGAAAGTGCCTAAAAGTGGCTTGGCTATCGGGTTTGACAAATGGTAAGAATAACGATATAACAACGTGCGATCGTATCTGTGGCAAGGTGAGAGGATTGGGTGGGGGACCCTGCCAACCAATACAATCAATGGGGACTTAACGAAGGAAAGATCCCTATCCCCTCTCACAGGTGGTCAACGCCTGAGCGCTTCTGGATGCCCAGCCACCACGTCGGAGCTGGCGACAAAGCTTGACGAACTTGGCCGTAGAGTGTGCGGCCTATGACCTCTCAGTGTTTGAGAGAATAGGTAAACTATTTAAAACACATTATATAACTTTAATTTGAACTTTATTACTAATTAACAGCAGCTAACACAATAATAAACTTGATTTGTCTCAAATGATTGAGTTGCAGCAAGAATGATGCTTGACATTTCTCAATGACCTGTGAGGTGGTCGGTCGCGTGAACACAGGACCGTGTAGGAACCCAGTCACAGATGCGAGCCTGGTGCGTAATTTCAACGGCCAAGATTGCCAAGAACAAAAAAGATCCCGGAATCGCTGCAAGGTTTTTGTTTTTCATATTTTTTCTCTTACACCAGTCACGCGCCGTTTCGTTTAAAAAAAAACATGACACCAGAATCACCCTCTGTAGTTTCCCAATGTTTTTTCAGACCAGTTTTGCCTCGGTTTCCAGAACCCTATAATTTTTCTGAAGACATTTTAGAACCAGACTCACCCTCCATAATTATGTTTCCCAACAGTTGTTTCACATTCAGAACTATGTTCTTTCCCCATGGCCCCATCACCTCATAGCACCTGCACCTTCGACGCCAGGCTATATGCGAGCTTCGGACCCCAGCTGAAGCAGGTGAAGATCCGTGGATCTTTGGAGAAGCTCTCCAGCAGGCGGGGCTGGTGAGTCATGACAGGCGGTGAGGGCTGTTGTCGGTGGAAGTTCCGAAGTTTTTGGGGGTGAGCTGTCGAAAGATTTGAAAGCCAAGAATTGGATATGGTCGACTTGTTTTGGTAGGTGAGGTTTTAACAGTTAAGACTTGGACATGGGTAGATTCTGATCTCAAGTTCCCCAAGGGATGCAAGAACAGGATGAAGCTTCAAGTTTTTCGTCGTCACTGGGCTGACAGGTCGTCCTTATACTCTTGGAACCGCTCGGCTGGACAGCCCAGGAGACATGAAACGGTTTGGACATGACATGGGGAAGAAAGGAGGCTCTGGATTGCATGGAAATGATAGTTTGTACTCATTGTGAGAGCAGCATACTGTTTTGGTTGTATATTTGAATTTGGAGAGAGAGAGAGAGAGAGCGGCATACGCGTACAAAATCACAAAAGGAAGTGGACAATGACCTTTGAAAGATTATTAGCAAAATTATGTGTCCACAACTTTCGATCCGAAGTCCATTTTCTTGTATTGTCGAGTTCCCAAAAAAGGAGAGAGGGATGGATCACCATTCATCCGAGGAATCCTCCTCGTTTTCTTGGTAAATCTCAAAATATATCTATTTATCCACTGGATAAATCACCATAAATGATCATATATCATGATAAAATCACCATAAATCACCATATATCATCATAAATCACCATCAATTCACCATAAGTCCCACTTTTCCCCAGTGAAACGCGTCATTTCTGGTGCTCCCAAAACATGGCCCCCACAGCCCCGCCTTCGAAGCCGCCTCGAGGTGACCGAGGCGGATGCGGCGGCCAATGAGGCGCCCAAGCAACTCATGGCGGCCTGGCAGCAGGGGTGGTTCACTTGGGGAAAAAACACATCCAATGATGAGATGATCATAGTTGATATGATATGATGATTAATTATATGATAAGGTTAATGGCAGATACTGTAATGATATATGATATATAAATGTGATATGATGAGACCATATGATGAGATGATCATAGTAGATACCATGTGGTAAATTAACAGTTGGACCCTGAAAATGACAAATTTTTAGCGGAATCTAATCTCCCAACCCCCCCCATCTGCCAGGGTCTATGTTAATTTACTGGAGGGTATGATATGATGATTAATAGTATGATAAGGTTAATAGCAGATAATGATATATAAATGTGATATGATTGTATGATATGGTTCACATGGGGATTTGAAAATTGAGTAGAGGACATGTGATAAAATAGTGATATTGTATATGATATGATTGGTTAATGATATGATGTGACTTACAATGATGTCAAATGGTGCCAGCTAGACAATAGGGTTTGACACGGCAAACATATGCACAACATGTGGGTTTGACCTGCGAAACATTGGGTTTGAACAACATGAGTCTGGATTGGAGAAATAGGGGGTTGTCACAATCGGCTTAAACCAAGTATATCAGACTCTAGGCAGTTTGTCAGTGGCAACAATCATGATGACGTCAAGCATGATGATCATTGGGATGATTGCCTTTTTTGTTTACCAAAAACGTGGGGGTTTAAGAATGGGGAGAGGTGACTGGCCAGAGATGGAGGATTTTCTTGCAAAACAATATCTTTAGCGCTGGTTGCACTTGCCCAAACATGGGCAGGACGAACTTTGGGGAGGTAGAACCATGATCTACGGGGGGGTTGAAGCAACAACAGGTTCCAAACCTGGAGAGACTATGTTTTCTTTTGAATATGTATGATTATGTAATATGTTTGTATGTGAACGTTACCATGTGTATATTCGTGCTTATTCCAGTTAAATTAGTAGGGACAACTAAGGAGAGTAACCAATGAAAACATGGGTTGAACCTGCAACAATGGGTTCAAAACTCACACCAACGATCAAACCTGTGGAGACAGTTTGGTGCTAGTCAAAAATGGAGTAGCCACAATATCCCATAAACGATCCATACACTTCCCATTCTCTCCCATCTCCACATTCTGTGTTTCTTGGGGCCGCAGTTTGATGCATCCAAGGCGTTGAAAAGCTTGGAACGCTTGAGGGCCACGCGCGAAGATGGTCACTTTCCAAGGGCCCGGAAACGGGGCGGTGGGATCATGGTACACGTGGACGGTGTCGAAGATGCAGAGACCACTTGCTACATCGAAGTAGCATTCTTGATGATCGCTTGAACCCATCTAAATCAAACAAACACACCTGTTTCAAAGTTCACGAAACCCCGGAAATGATGAAGTTCATGAAGGAAGCGAAATCATGCATTTGTATTTGAATACTGTATTTGTACGGCTTTATCATCGGGGTTTCCGCATCAAAGAGCTTGAAAACCTTGGCTACCGCCCCCTCCAGTGTCATCCGACCATCGCAGCAGTGGAAGGCCTTGCAGATCAAACAACTTCAGGTCCTGTATGGTCCGGGACACAGCACAGGTGTAGATTGAAGCTGACCACCGCAATGGCCCAGCTACAGATGGGATATCGGATAACTTTTCACCAGGTACCAGGTGGCATGTGCATTCAAGTTTGTCACGGAAGAATCCTGGGATACTGGCCAACTGGGGATATGTTGATCAAATTATGTTGATAGGATATATTATAGCTTATGAACCCATGAGGCGTGTGCGAAATGAGCGACCCTGAATTTGGAGCTTGCTTGTAATTATGACGTCAGTGTGTCGTTTATCTTGATTGAATCTTCAAGACATCTACTGAAATTGGTTGGTTGCACAAAACACGTTTTTTTTTTTTTTTCCGGGTTCCACCGTTGTATTGTGTTTTAGCGCTCTTAACCGGGAATGGTGCAACTGTTCCCTTCTCCCCTTAACCCCCTGGAACTTTACTATGTAGTTACATGTTCACCAGGAAGTGACAAACTTAAATCCAACAATCCCCATTAAGTTACCCGAAATGGCTCCTTTCAACTATACCCCCAATTTGAAAGTTCAGTAATTTTCTCAAAAAACATAATATGATTTATGGCTTGCCCGTGAGGTGGATATGATCTTAGTGCCCAGTGACCAATTGGAGGTTGAAGCCGTTGGGCCCTGGGGTTTGTAGCTGAAGGTGCCTTCCTCAGCGACCAGGAGCTGGAGGCATGGGAAACGGGTGCGTTGTCGTCGATGGCTGGACCATCCAGCAGTCGAAGGTGGCGATTGAAAATCCATGTGTCCACCTAAACCTCCATTTGTAGGGATTTTCTATTGTTCATAGTGTTGATTACCAGGCGGTAAATTCCGGATTGGTCGTTTTGAATGCTTTCATATTTTGCCATCAATGGGAATACTCATGCCCAGCTTCTACAAAATATATGGGGGCTCAGTTCTGAGCATCCGAGAGCCCTATTTATTCCTCTTTGTTATTTTAAACCATGGTTTCCCGTACATGTCGCCTTAAAGCAGCACAACCCAAAAAAGATAAACAAGGAACAAGTTTCCACTATTTTAGTATATTTCGGTAGGAGTTTTCAAGTTGCTTCTTTTTCCCGAAGAATTTGTTAAACTCCCACCAACACTGGCACCCCTAGCCGATGTTGCGCATCGAGTTGCTGAAACTGCAGGGCTACCCAGCAGAGGAGGCAATCAAGGTCACTTGGCCGTCATTGATGTCATTGATGTCATTGGCGTTGGCTCGATAGTTTCAAGATGTTTGAAGCAATAAACATAGGCTGGTTGGTGGTTTGGATCATTTGTTATTTTTTCCATATATGGGATGTGATCCTTCCCATTGACTTTCATATTTTTCAGAGGGGTGGCCCAACCACCAACCAGTAGGGCTGTTTACCCAGAAATAGGGTACTGTGTTGCAGCATTTCAGGCATTTTTGGGGAGATGAAACATCACATGGTTGCCATTGATTTTTAGTTTTGAAGCCTTCTATTTATCAACACCCCAAAAGACACCTGTTCTTGAATTTGTATGAATCTGTTGGATTTGTTCATGAGTTGGGGTCCAAAGGACAAGGAGAGGGCGTAATTGCAATCATTGCATGAAGAGGGGCCGCTATATTGTTCTCTGTTTATAGTAGGACACATCACCTTTTTGTGTTTTCAGTTGATTAGTGCTCAGCGCCTGCAGACCAGTGATGTTGATGGATGCGCATTCTTCTGTAGAAGCAACGCGGGGTCTGTGATGCAGATGTCACCAGCAGTCAGAATGAGAAAACCCAGCATAAAGTGGTAGAGAATGACTTCGTCTTGGCCCGAGTTTTTTTAATCATGGGCATTGGCAGGGTTCCCATAACTTATGAAGCCCACACCAGCAGTCAATCCGCTAGTGAGGTAGAGGCAAAGGATAAGTAAAAGAGGAGGCATGACATGCTTTGTTGTTGATTGATGCTTGGGTTCTATGAACTAATTCATGGACATTATTCAAGTGGTTGTTCTGAATCACAGCTCTGAAGTTATAGTAAGCACCAACAAGATAGACAAGTAGTCCACCATACTTCATCACTATTTTTTAGGATTTTAATATATAATATTACATACGTATTTCAAGTGTTTATTTGCGGGCAGATTACCATACACAACCGAGGTCAAAACCACCAAGAGGAATGATCGAGGCCGAGCGCCGTCGAGACCACCTTTTGGGGGTCTTCCCCCAGGATCCTCTGGGGATATCACCTACATGGTGATTGAACCATCAGAAAAAGTATGAAAATATCAAACAACAGTGATTTAACATGATTTAACCATCAAGAAGTATCCAGACATGGTGATTTTAGCCCTCGAAAATGGTGGTATCATGGATATGTTACATGTTGGTATATTTTGGTATTATGTTTGGGGGTATAATGGGATATAATGGGTATCGAACATGGCTAGCTAGGAAATCCCTGAACTAAACGGATGTTCATAGCTGGGAAAGTCATCGAACGAAATGTGGGTCTGACTGTATGCCCTTGGAAACACAGTGTCTTGTTGTGATGTGCAAATGCACGCATAAAACCTTATAATTTATGTATATATAATCATTCCCATCCTTTGTTTCTTGTTCTTGTTCCAAGGTCACTGATTTACTCAGCAGTGATCATCCCTTTCCAGAAACAGCTTCAATGAATGCACATTGGATCTATTTTTCACGTCTTGCTATAATCCCAAATGTGAAGGACAAACATACAGGAAACTTACTTGTTTGATGCTAAAACACGGGGAGTTCTTGCAGATGTTCCTCGAAACTGAGCTAGATCCCTTGGAAGTCAAAGCCGCATATTTGAACCCTGCGACCGTCATAAACTGCTTGGTTCTGCAGGGCCCAATTTTGGATTAAGATTAAAGGTGCCCACAAATGATCCAAAATGAGAGCAGCAAATGGATCCTATTCTTTTAGGGCTCCTCACTTGAAACAACATGAAACCACCACATACCACCCAAAAGATGGAACGCAACCAAATTACAACTATAAATATACATATAAATATTGTTGGTATAGGATTTTTCCACAAATCCATCATTTTTGCGGGCGTTGCTATAGATCAACCAATCCAGCGATAGAACCCACCCTGGTGCCCTGTCAGATTCCCGTCGTTCCTTGGCCGCCGGTGACGCTCGCCGGTCCTTAGCAGAGACAGCCACGCAGAAGGGGGTCTTGGAGGAGGCCGAGTTTTCTCGGGGGGAGAGTTCTACGAAGTGGGCCACCACCAATTGGAATGTGTACCCTCTGGTTATTTAACATAGCATAATGACCCATTTATAGATGGTTCACCTATTACAAATGGTGATTTTCCATGGCTATGTTAAATAACCAGATGGTAGATGAACAGAATCCAGGTTCTCTTGGCACCTTGAACCGTTGGATTGATAGGGACATTCTGGATATACTTACCATTAATTACCAACTGTTTGCCGTCTCCAAGAACTTACAACTCGGGGGGGCCGCTTTCTAGTAGTGGCGGTGAGGGTTTCGGAACATTTGAGACCCAGAGAGATCGACATTTTGTTGTGGAATGTTGTGGAGATAGAATTATATAATGCATGTCAACCATGGGTAGTGGATTTCAGATGATTTATATCCCGTTTTCCATAAATATCAGGTGAAATTAGAGGATAGAATCTTACCCAACCATGTAATGGTGGTGCCCCCAAACGTTTTGACTTGGTTTATGTTCATCCAAGTCTAATTGTTTCACCAGAATCTCAACAGTTAACTTGATCGAGTCATGCTCTAATAGGCAATCGCCACGGGAGCCTTGACAGGTGGAGGCACGGGATGGGGCTTGAAAAACATGGATGTGACCGACAAACAAAAGGGATTTCACCAACAAATTGCGATTTTACCAACAGAAATTGGGATTTGACCGAGGAACATGTCGACTTCAAAGAATTTAAGGGCAAAATCTGCCAACCTCTAGATTTGGATGTAGAAACCATGACTTTCAAATCATGGTTCAAATGTAAACTGTCCCTTAGCCTTGAACCAATCTATTGAAAGATGGAAGCCATAGATTCCTGTGGTGAAAGATTTTCCAAGCAAATTGGATGCATGTTTTATGTTAAACGTTTGTTCAGGTGATAGGTGCCGAGCGCGACAAAGATATTCAACATATTAATAGGGATATTTGTATGTTACTAGGTGACTTGGCTTGAGGCTGCTAAAAGGCTATTGAAAGGAACCCATAGAACAAAAAACACATATTGGATGACAGGATGTTTTTGCAGCTACAATGTCCATCTATATAGATACTATAGGAGGTTAATTTCATCTCAACCCACTTGCCTGCAAACATGAGAAACATGATAGAAACATGCACAAAACCTTCAAGATTTTCCCGCAAGACTGGAAGCCTTACCTGGGATAGACCAGGGATAGACCTGGCACTGCAGGCACCATCCGTTTCCAAAGCCGCAAGACGCTCAAAGAGGGCCTGGATCAGACGTCTGCGAGCCCAGAGCTGGAGAGCGCTCCGAATGATGGTTGGATTTGCTTCAAGACCATGTGACATGTTGATGTGCAGTACTCCTTCAGTAACGCATGGGATGTGATAATGATGCAATACATTGCATATATTTGCCCATTTGGCTAACGAACAACAACTTGGCTGCCCTGGGCATAGAAGTAAAGTCCTGGCCATGGGTCAAAATAAGCTTAGAAGGCTCAAGGTTCTATTGTTATTTTCTCGGAGACCCAATTCATCCCAATTCTGACTCATAGTAGCATGTTTCTTCTAGAAATGGTCAGTCTGGGGTTCCATACTAACATGATTCTTCATTCAATCCTTGATGGTGAGCGATGGCATCTTGCCCTGCCAGGTTCACCAACAGTTTTACCAAGTTCTTTTCCATCACAATCTCTTTAGTTGCTTCAATGGCTGCTGTGGCTGTTCTTGGCTCAGAGAATCCGGGAAAATGACAGGGCCCAAAATTTGCATAGCTACCGCAGAGCAAGATCAGCAAAACAAAAGACAAGTCTCTGAAGAGCGGCTCATATCAACAATCCTCTGCAGGAACGAGATTTCAGGGATCAAGCTCCCGCAAAATCCACAGAAACGACCAAAAAATCACTGAACTGAAAAGAATTGGAACACATTTTCAACAAACTTCCATCTCCTGGCGCGGAATTTCAAGGCGTGGCAGGTTTTTCGACAAATGGCGGTCGAGTCGGTTTGCGCGGCTTGCGGGCAGGCTGAGCCAGGGAAGCTGCTTGCCTGAAAATGCTCCAACTGACAATTGTGCATGCTGACAGGTGAGAAACCGATTTCCAAGGGGCCATGTTCCATCTCCACACTTGTCTAAGTTTTGGTTATCGTCCAAAAGTGATGTTATGTGATGACTAAAATGGTGCCCCATCATTAAAGAAAGCTTCTGCTCGCAGTGTGTCAAAATGGTTCTAATGAATGATCACTATCTACCTCAATATCTACCTTCCTTGCATTGACATGTACAAAGTTTTTGTCCCTGCATACCCGGGACCATGACCCCAACAATTTTTGATTTATAAGTGATTTGTTGAGTGAAATCATCATGATTTTGTGTGGCCATGTTTCATTAATTGAATGTTTAAAGTGGGTTTGTCTGAATGTAGTTGCCCCAAATTTGATGCTTCATCACCAGTTCCCTGTTTTTCAGCACAGCTATGTCGGGATGTCCCGGATACCCCCACCATTTTCAGAGCACCCAACGTCCCAGGACCTGTGTTTCGCAAATCATTGGCCCAGCAATCCGGGACCCACATCATCCCACATCGTGTTTTCCTGATCTGCCTCTTTGAGATTGGTTGTTTTTTGGTATATTTCTCCGATATTTCTTGCCAGCTGCTGGTGGGTCATCCTTCCAACATCGTTTCTGAGGAGATGTTCCGTGTGTAAACAAGTCACTGGGACGACGATGACGGGGGATGTCCTGAAGCTTCCACAGTGGGCCCGGTCACAGGATGTCACTGTGATCGTTTTTGAAACTGTGAAACCATTCCCATTTTTTTTGGGGGTCCATTGTTATTGAGGTTAATAGTGGTTAATAGTGGTTAATAGGGTATAAACCAACAACAATGGAGATATGATTGATGGTTTTCTGATTGGTGGTTTGTAACATGACTTTTATGACTTTCCATATATTGGGAATAGTAATCTCCAGTGACTAGGAGTTTCCGGGGGGTGGAAACCACCAGCTAGGAAATGTTTTGAGACATTTAGGCCATGTTGGCAATGACGGGCTGGTCTGGTGGGTTGTCTTGGGCTTAGTCTTCGATCCTGAATTGGAAAGTTTTGCCCGCCTGACTTCTGTATATATGTTTCAGGGGGAGAGAGGTTGAACGGGTTGAACTCAGTTCAACCAGCCTATGTTTGAAGTGTGTAGCTGTGTTTGAATTTCGTTGTTTTTTTTGGAATTCCTCATTTATAGACGGTTGGTGATATATCCCATAAAATATCACAATGATCCCCATTTTGCCCGGTTAACTTCCCATAACTTTGATGGCACACATTCTGACATGCAGGGATCAGTGACCTACTGGGTTGAAATCTCCCAGCATCAGTTGTTGTGGGTCAAGGGCCAAGGTATGTTGTTGGACAAATCCAACCAAAAGTTTAAGATCCGGCAGAAAGCAACTGCTTAGAGACAGTGAGCTGTGGGGGGTCCAAAAAGCTTGGGTGTATCAAGGGATGTCCTCCAGTTTTGCAGCATTTTGCAGCTAACCCACCACACCAGTATCATCCCTGAACATGGATCGCAAACGGCTTACATTAAACTTGGAAATCTATTGGCCAACCATTTTGGCTGGTTGTTGGCTTTGTTTTGGGCCCACATCTGAAACCCATGTTCAGAACCACGAAAGTTTCAGATTTCAATTGCGACTCAGGTATTGGGGGATATTGTCCAGTTGCAGCCATCTCATCGCTTCGGGTTAGTTATCTCACACTGTCATGCCCCCACCGAACTGCAAGTTGCTTTATAATTGCTGTAACCCCAACCGGTCTAGATGAACCCACCAGGAAGCCAAGAGTTAGCTTAGTTATAATGCAACTTAGCTCAGCAACAAAAAAAGATCGCCAGGACAATCACCTCACACTCACACATCCATGAAAATCGCAAGAAATGCGCCGCACTCCATGTTTTTCCCCACAGATTTCCATTTTCCACCTAGATTGCCCAGGGTCCAGGGTTCCCATGGTTTTCCCTAGGTTTCCATTGGGTCTTCCATGGGGCCTTAGGTCTACTACTGTGGCAGGGACTGCCAGAGGAAGGACATCGGTCGCCATCGTCGGGAAGACGGCTGTGGCAAGCGACAGGAACTTGACGAGGCCGAATTTTCGTGGAGGATGGGGAATTTGTTGATGCAATAAAATTGTTTGTAGACATCTATATTACATCAATAGCGTCCATATCAATATTAGTGATATATTAATATAACATGTATTAAAATGTTAATTGGAGTTTAAATGAACATAGCCATGGAAAATCACCATCTTTGCTAGGCTAGGTAAATCAACTATAAATGGGGGAAACTTTGGAGAGAGAGAGAGAGATTTATACTATATTACAAAATATTACATGACTTATGTTTAGATTTATATGTACTATCTATGATTAATTATCACGCATCGGAGGTCCCAATATTTGAGAATGAATAATTTACAAACACATTTGAATTGTGTCCATGATTTAAAGTTTCAAGCTGTGATCCACTTTGCCATGTTGAGAGTTACAGCGGGATTTCGGAATAGATGGCAGTTCCGTTCTGACAATTTGCAGTGTGGTGATTGTTGATGAACGAACATTTACTCTCGTGATTTACGATGAATCCTAAAGTCCATTTTAAGTACGGATCCAGATATATATTGGGAATTCTCATTACGGATGATAAACAAAAGAGTCCAATTCAAGCATGGAACTATACATGATCCATTATCCCATGTTGGGAAGTATTACCGGTGCCAATATTAAACAGCATTTGTTCAAGAGTACGGTTATAATGTTACATCGCACGACAAAAATAAACTATCCAGTCCTGCAGATCGTCCCGCATGACCATGGAGTGACAAGAAAGTGGGATGTTTTTTTTTACTCGTCAAATTACATGAGCCAAATATGAAATTAATGCCTGTAACTCAATAAGTGGAAATGTTGCTGAAAGACTTCTATTTAATAACTAAGTCAAACATAGTTAAGCACCTTTTGGTCATAAGCAGACACAGGCATTGGGGTTACATCGGGTAAACCTACATATTGGATTTGTTGTTTACATTTCAACTTCCTATTGGGTCAACCTGTGGAATTAAATTGGGTATAGTATGATAGCTTGTTTTTGTTTTTTAAACGCCAATCTATCTATGAGTGTTAAGCAACCTATCTTGTAAATACCATGGCGGTAGTACAATCGTTATATATATATACATCTATGTCCTATCCAAAAAACTCTAAAAAGGAGGCCTTGATGAGTATATACCCAACCTTCTTGATGAGATCGAACGCATGGAAGGATATGAGTACCCTTATCCAATATTGGTTTGGGGTACTGTATATAGGATAGGTTTTGCTAGGACTCCCGCGCATAAGCATTAGATCCAGAATCTATGTGTATACATGAAAATGCTACACTTCCATTGGCATAGTATTTGAATTATTCCCAATGCTATACTTCCAAAAATAAACGCTAAATTTTACCTTAATCCCATTATGTAAATCCCAAACAGTTCCATTAGATCCCATTGGGTCCCATGAAATCGCATTCTAACTACAATCTATTCACCATTCAGGCTGAAAAGATTGGAATCTCCAATTCATGATTAATCATACTATAATAGGTGTATCGAATAATCACACCATACTAGGTATATCTAGGTATCATCTATGTACAAATCATTTTATCAAAACTCATTCCCAACGCATGATAATCACAATATATACTCGGTATATCTAGGTATCAGGTATACATCATCCATATATCAATGGGAATTTCAGGATCCTAAATTGAAGGTACCCATCATATATATGTTTTTTTTTGGCCTATGTAAGGGAAGATCCCCAGAAATATAGCACCCAAAATCCGTTCCATCCTGGTTGCAGGTGTCGATGCCCTTCGTGGTCCCCGAGGCTCCGTCGCCCCAGTCCCCGGTGCGTCGCAGCGTGGAGGGGCCGCCCTGCCTGCGCTGTGGCCACGCGGCGGAGGAGAAGATCCACGCGGATGCTCGGAGGAAAAAGGTCAGGGGGGACTTGAGCAACAAGAAAAGGTGAGATTTCAATTGGGTTATGATGGTGAATAGTGGTTAATAGTGGTTAATAGTGGTTAATAGTGGTTAATAGTGGTTAATAGGGTATAAACCAACAACAATGGGAATATGATTGATGGTTTTCTGATTGGTGGTTTGGAACATGACTGGATTATGACTTTCCATATATTGGGAATGTCATCATCCCAACTGACGAACTCATATTTTTCAGAGGGGTAGGTATACCACCAACCAGATAATGATGGGAATATCACTATTATGGGACATCACTATTATGGGAGTATAATGGGATAATCACTAATGAGAATCTTATCATCCAATGGGAATATTATGGTAACTGATCATAGTTATATAATAGGATATAATGGGGTGCTAGTTGGAATATAATGAACATATTATGAGAATCGAAGGGGTGTAATGGGAATGTTTGCCTGCAATTGGGATTAATCGGATTTAATGGGGACATAATGGTATGTAACCCATATTGTAGAAATAGCATGGAATGGGATGGGATAGTGATGATATAATTAACATATATGCATGTATATATATATAATTATATATATTATATATATATACTGGGAAATTCATTGGAGAATGGTGATGCAATGGTTTACCAGCAAACAATTGCAGAAGAAGGATTTGAGCAGCATCCTCAAGGGCATATACAACTGGTAAAATCTTCCATAGACATCCATAGGCTATATTTCCCTGCAAGTGGGTTATATATTGGGAGAATGATGATAGAATGGAAATATGCTATGAGTTTCACGGGGTATTGAGGATAGAATGGTTTACTTTGGGTGCATGAGACCATTGTGGAATATTGATGAGATATGCTAATCATTGCTATCCGGACCATGGGGCAGTTCAACTAGTGAGGGGATAGAAACATATCCTAGATTTGCTGGGCTGATTTATTGGTAAATGACTACTTGGGAATCTAAACGGAATATGTTTTTACTGTATTCCATGGGACCATCTTTAGCAAATATCAGATGTGGTCTATTATGGGGTAATTCTTGGGATGGGATTTTCATAGAATTATTAAGGAACAAAAACAAGCCAAGGGGAATGGGGGTCATCAGGTAGGGGAAACATGCCAAGGAATTTGATCAACATGTTTAAGAAGCAAGAATTCAACGTGTGAGAGGACTTGTTCCGCTGAACAAATCACTTGATTCAGGTGAAACTGGGGATTTAGCAGATAGGAAAAGCAGCTAGTCCAGAGTGGATCTACCCTCTGGCAAGCAATCGTGGCAATAGAAAATCTACCCTGGTTGGTGGTTTGGAACATTTTTTATTTTTCCACATGTTGGGAATAATCATCCCAATTGACTTTCATATTTTTCAGAGGGGTAGGTATACCACCAAGCAGTACCATGTATAGATGATGTTTCGCATCAAAAACTAAATTCATTTATACAGTTATGGCCATTTATTAGATATAAGTGGTTATAAATGGGATTATACATTCTACAAATGGGGTTATAAGTACTTATAACTGGTAAAGGGCCTTAACTGTAGGAGATTAGATTTGCCATTGAATGCTTGATTACCATTGAATGCTTGATTGCCGGCGGGTAACCATCATATTTTTGGACCTGCTTGGCCAAGGAGATCGCTGCAAGGAGCATCTTTGGATCACCTGATTGTTGCTTGGCTCATCTTGGCTCATTGTTTCCGGGACATGCTTTCTGGTAAACGATGGCAATGGGACGTGACATGAAGCTGTCATCCTTGATGAGATCCTCCGGATATCCTCCGGTAATCAAAGGTGACAATAGAAACTCGCCCATTTACAGCTGATTTTCCCATGAAAACTTCCATACGTAGCAGTGGATTTCCCAGTTTGCTATGTTTGAAGACACCGATCCATCCTTTGGACCATGTTCCATGTAGCACTGAGAAAGGCACAGCATTTCAGCGCAATGCAAGGCATCTAACCGATGCCTTGCTCTATAGTTATAGTGATCTCTACTGTAGTGACTAGTGTTTTTGGAACTATATATATATATATTTACACACACATTTGATCATACAGACTATTTATATATACATATACATATACATACATACATATATATATATATATGTGTAAGCACACATATCTTGAATTTGGGGTGTAACTTGTGGATAAATTATAGCAAGTCTTCTGATGGTTTGGGTAGTTTAAACCTGTGCAATTTCAAATTCATCCCCATTATGATGCTGTGAACAAACCATGATTTTATAAACATTCTTTAAACACCAGTTGCAGTGTTTTCTTCCTCTAATGTTCCCCAGACGAAACCTTGATCTAGTATTTGGTCCATTTATTTTGCTGCCGATACGAATTGTATGTTTTTTGATGCAACGGACTTCTAAACTGGGACGCGCATCCACGTGCACCCTCCCGACGTTCTTGCTCCTCAACGCAGCTTGGAGGCAAACACGGGCCTTACTGCAAGAGTTGTTCCAAGAAGCTGGCGAATCTGACGTTGGCCTTCTGTCCCTCGGCCAAGCTTGGAGGGGCCTTGGTTAAATGGTTATAGATCGTGGGTTATAATCAACACACATGAAATGCGTCTACCTATGTTTTGGAACTGGAACTGATTCTTTAAGTAACCCATCCAAGTACTTTGACATCCCCAAGTATCAACACTTTGAAAGCTGTGAAATCATCACCAGAACCCCAAGTAGTAGCGCACAATGGTTTACGCAATTTTTTCCGAAGCCACGGCTATCGGGGACACTTCAATTTAGGATCCACCATCAATGAAATCTGCATGGAAACTGAGGATTTTTGTTGACCTGTCCCGTCCATGCCCCACGTCGCTGAGGTTCCGGCTGCAACGCGCTGATTCAGCGCATCGGCGACGGTGCCAGCAACGGCCACTGCAACGGCCACAGCAACGGACATAGCAACGGGCACAGCAACGGACACAGCAACGGGCATAGCAATGGCATCACGGAGACGCCCAACAAGCTGAACCTGGTGAGTCTGGACTAGGCGGATGACTGGGCAAATTATGTGGTGACCAATTCGCCATTTGGCCACAGCCGTTTCATGCGGTTCTAGGCGGTTCTAGGTCTAGGCTTTGGGAATTGCTCGAATTTGCCCAGATGATGCTAGGTGGATGTATGGTGGTTTCTCAAACCAGGGGAGTGCCCCCAGATGAACTTCCCAGGGATGGTGAAAGATCTTCAGGTAGGTAGGTGGCTAGTGTCACCATAGCCAGAGATCGCCTCAATACTGGCTTCTAGCCATGAAGAAGTTGTTTCCTCCTTTTTTTTTGGAGATCTGAGATGGTTTACAAGAAATCTTGTAAAATGATGCTAAAAAGTAAAAACAAAACAGAGATGAGGATCTATGAAGCAGCAAGAATATAGAGATGACCTACTCTCAATCAATATATATATATATATATATTATATATATAGATGTTATCTCATTACTTCGACTGTATGATATAGACTATAGATATTATCTTCTTACATTCCCATTTTGCCATATATATATTATTATGCTAGATTAACAAATATGATGTTGATATTATACTAGATGATAGTAGATGATATGTGCTTTGAAAATTGGATCCCCCAGTTTAAGAACCACCGCTGCGGCGCCGTGTCGACCCTATCCCAGTGGCCATTGTCACGGCTGTTGGTGTTTCCTGCCGATTGCAACGGTGTAAGCATCGCGACGTCGCAAAGGAATCAATATAGATGATGAGTAAGGAGAATCATCCGAAAATGGCTTCAATTTTGGCTTAGTTAGCAACTAGTACAATCCATGAGGATTAGCAACTAGTGCAATCCATGAAGAAGGATTACTTTAATTAAGCTAACATTAAGGATTTTCATCGCAAAGCAAACTCGGCCTTGAACCAGGTTTGGGAATTAGAGTGATTTGCCCAGACACATGTCAAAGATCGTCTTGCCCAGGACTGAAACATGAAGACATGGATGTTGCCACCTGGAAAATGGCAAAAAAACAAAGTGAAATTTGAGAGCCGTTGCGTTGTAGGTATATATATATATCGACTGCTCACCTGATGGATATTTTTTGCTTGATCCCCCAATTTTTTGGCGTAATGGGAAAGCAATCAACTGACAGAATCCCTCATGGGGATTTTGCGAGCCTGGCTGTCATCAGTTCCCCTCCGGTAAACATACAAAACACCAATAAACACCATGGAAATCCATGGGACCATGCGCCAGAAATGGTGGAGTTTCCACAGCTTTGGTGGGTTTTTTGATCCCTTTTTCCCGTTGCTCGGCGAGCGACACGGCATGGAACATAGCATGCTGGGCCTGTGTGCAGAGGATTGTTTGGGGCACCTTGCGGCAAGTAGGGGAAAAGCTATGCAAACTGTGTTGGAAACCTGTGGAAGGGCTGGGGCATGTCATAGAAGTCTGGTGGCAAGGAATCTTCCACATATTTGGATAGATACGAACTGCACAGCTTAAGCTTACCCTCTGGTTATTTCACATAGCCATGGAAAATTGCCCATTTATAGATGATTGTCCCATTAATACCTCCATTTATAAGGGATTTTCCATGGCTATGTTAAATAACCAGATGGTAATACATTTTCTGAGTCAACCTTCAGCCTCTGATTGATGTTTGCTTCGGCTGCCGGTTTTCAATCCTGGTGATGCCCTGCAGTGAGATCTGATAAACTGCCAGTTGTGTTTTCGTTCGCCTTACTAATCGTCTTCCAGGCTCTTTCAGTTTTAGTGGAAGCCCGGTGCCATGCGTTACCACTGCACCCCATGGTGCCCCAGATGGCCCAAATTGGCCCAAATTGGTCAACGCGGCACAGAAGTTGCCACGCCGCGCCTTGCTGCGGAGCCAAACGTGCGCAGTGAGAAAAGTTCGTGCGGGGGTGACAAGGGTGTGGCAGGAGGTCTCTATTCTGTTAACCATTATTTATGGGGCAAATGGGATCAAATATGACAGATATATATATATGTCTATATTTTACAATTATACACACACACATATATATATATATATGTAAACAATCAAAATGCACGTTTTATCTATATAAATCACTTTAAATAAAATCCATATTAATTCAATCTATAATCTAATCTAATCTAGTCAATTCCACCCTCACCAAAGTGAATCCAATGCAATTTCATTTGTCTTTTTTACAGTTTCTACTTTATCTCAACATCTGAGTCTAGCATATCCAAAAGATCTGGGGTATATGTGCCATACATGCTGGGGAATCTCAAGGAAATCACCCAGTTTTCTTGCGCTCAGGAACCAGCACTACGAACGACACAGCGAGTTGCGCAAGACAGTGGGAAGACCCAGCACCGACTCAGCATGTTCTGCGGCAAATGATGGAAGGTATGGTCATAAAGTCAAGACATCGATGCCAAGTATCGGATGTGTTGAACTACGCAAGTCTTTGAGCATTGTGAAGCTGCCCCTGTTTCGAATCCGTGCGAGTGTGTTGACCATGGTTCGGTGGTAAAGCCACCAGAGGTTTTTCACCCTGAAGGAGAAGGGAAATGATGCCACCATGCCACTAGTTGCCATTTCCCTTGCATGGCTCCTGGTAAAGTGAACTCTGCCACATTCAGTCAACATTACAAATGTGCTGTTTCTTGTTCCCTTTGTCTAGCTTCGAAACATCACCTAGTACCTAAATGGGGCTCATCATCCAGAAGTATTGTAGATAAAATCTCTCATATGACCAATGACTAATTTAAGCATGATTAACAGAGGTCGATGATATGGGTCAACGGTCTTACTGCGCCCAGGCCTCTTTGCAGAACTTCTTGAAGACCAACAAGGAATTGGTGAGAAGCTGATATTTGACCCGAAATCGGACTTGGCGGAAATAGGACAGAAAAGGGGATCTGCTGAAATAGGATCTGAGATTTGACAGAAAAGGGGATACACTTTCCTGGACGTAAAGCTGGGATTTGCTGAAAGTGCGCTTTACGTGGCCGGAAATTGCCCTCTTCCCACTGGTAAGTTCATCGGAAAGCCAGAAGCCAGGAATCAATCCTTTTTAGTATTCGTATTATAAAAGAATATCTCCATTCTTTCCAGGGCCCAGTCCAAGCAATACACCAAACCAATCATATTATATAGATTTATATAGATCAGAAAGCAACCAGCAAATCATGGCAGGCATCAATTCAATACTATCACCAATCATATCCAATCATGAGATAATATGCTGGTATAGTGTATATGTTGTAATCCTTTCCCCCGTAGCATTTTCACGTCTCCAAGGTGCGTAGCCAGTCGGAAGCCAACGTGCGGCTGCATGACCTGCTGGGCAGGAAACGCGAGCGCGAGACGCCTTTCTTGGAGGGCGAGGCTTGGAGACAGGGACCCCAGTGATGGTTGGTGGATCATTGGATCAAAGGTTGGGTCTAAGGATAAACCTTCACCGGAAACCATGGTTGTCACATACCCAAATACAGAGAATATAGAAGAGCCCTGCAGATTTTAACATAGTTTAATCATTTAAACAAATCTGGGATTCAGGATGCTTGGATGGAATCCGTCTCTGGTTGATGGGTATTTTCTTCGGATAGGAGCTGGGGGAGCTGCACCGGATGTTCAGGCCTTCCCAAACCTTTCTTCAAACAAATCATGAAGAGAACACTTACCTGTAGACCTCAGTACTACTGGGTAAACACAAGAATGTCCAGTAGAATTTGCTTGAAACACTCCTTGAATTTGTGGTTCTTGCCGATGTTTTCCTTGAGCGGGCAGGTCTTCCTTTACTCTTCCCAGAGGTTGAACAGCGCCGAGCTGCAGAAGGCCTGAAACGACGAAATGTTTTTTTTTTTTGTGTGTGTGTGTGTTGGCTGGGTGAATGACGTGTGTGAATTACTGGTTCTTTATATGGGCCATGTGTATCTATCGATTTATTTATCTATCTATCTATCTATCCATCCATCTATCTATCTATATCTATATCTATATCTATATCTATATCTATATCTATCTATCTATCTATCTATCTATCTATCTATTTATATACATACACAGTATGTGGAGTATGATGTAAGATCAATTCAAATCCATCCCAGTTGGATGTAATGGGATACATGTCATGTCAGTTATATTCATATACAAACAGCACATGTTGGATAATGGCAAGACATTCTGGCATGGTATATATATATACATATATAGAATAGAAATACCCGGGAGGGTTGAACATACTATAGCAGCTGGAACCCAAGAAATCGGCAGAGCATGTTCCGCAAATAAAATTGGCAATTTGTTGGGCGCAAAGTTGGGAATTAGCAGAATTAGATAGATACAGAATGGCAAACACTTCTTGCAGCGACGAGGCAAACACGAGTTTTACAGTAATTACATTGTTTCTGAGAGGAAACAACTTGAACCAATCATTGATTGGCCAATCAATCCCGAAGTGTTTTGCAATTTTCAATGTGCAGCATTCACCCCCCGCAAAAAAAAAAAAACAACTTGACACGTTTCTGCGTTGCATGCATTCTTGCCACCTCAAGCGACGTTTCAGGACTGGATGCGGAAACATATGGAAGGCCATGAGTCGGAAAAGGTTTGGACTTACAGTGGGGGCACCTCAGATTTGCGAGGCAAAGGTCCAGCTGGTTTGTGGATGTTGCGTCATCACCAGATGTTTTTGATGTGACCTGTAGACGGAGATGTTGCTGTCAACCAAGTCGAACTTAGAACCTTGATATTTAGTTTGCCTTGTTGATCCTACAGGGCTTCACATTGAGTCTTGGTAGGGCGTTCGGCAATTGTTTGGCCACAGTTCTCAAGATATGTTAAACCCTTTTAGTTTTTCAAAGCGCTGTGCCGCCTGCCACTTTTGGTGGAACAATTCATTCTGACCAGCATGCAACAAACACATATCGAACAATACCACATCTGTATTCCTCCCCATTTAAGTAGATACAGGACAGTATCGCTGTCATTGTGTCATGGTTCATTTTTCTACCATAAAACCACATAATTTGATAAGCCAATCACAATCATATGCGTGACCTCCCAGCACCAAAAGACACCTGGCTGGTGACGCTGACGCTGGCGGCCTAGATCCGATCTACATGTCGCAGAACTTCGAGTTCGCCGGTGCCGCCAACCCGGGCGTCCGGACACCGATGGGAACAGCAGCTGGAAATGCTCCGAAAATGGAGCTGTGAAGCACAACTTGGGGGATTTTAGGGAATTTGGAAACAGAGATGGGTATGGATCAATACCTATTAATAACATTTTTAGGGGAATGAACATCCATTTGCCAGCTATTTTGGGGTTCACTAGGTACCAGGGTTTTGACCCATCCCCAGATGATTTCAGGTGCTTTGACCCACAGAAAAATGTTGGTGAGAGCCAGAGCTGATTCAATTAAGAGTTACTAGGAGATGATTTGACGATGCGGGGCTATACTACTGGTTAAGCGGCTTGCAATCCTCACCGTACCAGTGAGTAGAGGACGACGGAACGTTCCCATCAAACTTTCACCCACTCAATTTTACACCACAACTTTTGGCTTCACATTCCCATTCAATTCTCATGTTATTCCCATTTTGTTCCATCATGGTTTGGCTTCACATTCCCAATCAATTCTCATGTTTTTATCATTTTCTGGGTGGTGGTTTGGAACTTTTTTTATTTTCCCATATATTGGGAATCATAATCCCGACTGACGAACTCATATTTTTCAGAGGGGTAGGTATACCACCAACCAGTTTTTGTTGCCTCAAGTTCCCAATTTTTGTCTCCATTTTTCAGCCCTTCCCAGGTGCCGCAACCACCGCCGCCACGGCCCAACGACACCTACGCACGCTTGGAGAAGGATGACAGGAAGGTGGGGCCCCCGGTGGTCCTGGAGGGCGTCCGTTGAGGATGAGAATGAGGCATATCCCTCAGCCATTATCATGGGAAAATGATGGAAGATGGTGGAAAATGATGATTCATCCAATTTAGGAGTACCCTATGCTAGTAAAGCAATAGTAAGCCAGCCCTAAATTTTCCACAAATGGGTGGTCTAAACCATCAAAATATGGATGCTTTATCATTGCTGTATCAACATTCTAGTTGAACACAAAATCCCCACGTTTCCAACAGGACCTCCTCGTGCAGCACGAAGCCCAGGTCTGGCGTGGCGTGTATCACGCGAGGCCCAGCGAGGCGTATCGCAAACCTCCGCGAGATCTGGGTCTGGGATCCACAGGGGATGGAACTTGGGGTTTTGAATGGGATTTCATGGGATTTATGGTGATTTAATGGGATATTATAGTGATTTAATGGGATATTAATGGGATATACCCTCTGGTAATGACTAACAGTGTGCTATTGAACATTGCCATAGAATGCCATAGAAATAGTTGATTTACCTTAACAAAAAATGGTGGTTTTCCAAAGTTATGTAAACGTTTACCAGAGGGTATATAAAGATAATTATTTATTGTGTGATTCATGCTAAATGTGACAAAACCATAGCCCAATTGGTTAAAGATTGTTGGAAAGATTGACATTGAGCGGGAAATAGGATAAAGGTTGATAGGAGATTAACATTGAAATTGAGTAGCAATGCTGCTCCACTCGTTCTTTCCACCCAATAAAGCTCTCCATACGAGGTGAGACCCTGGTGTATGAAGCCAAGTTGGTTTATGACTTACTGTAGGTTAACTTCAGGGTTTATGGTTGGTTTCATTATACTCAATGCGCTTTATAAACCAACAAACAAAACTGAGGAAGGCCTCACCTTGTACACGCATTCGCCTTGTATTTCATGATTCAATCCGTTGGGCCCAGATCCATCACGAGCAGAGCTGCTGCATGAGGCACATCTTTGGGATCAGATTTGGGGATGATTTGTGGATTGCTGAAGTGAGCAAATATGTAAAGGATGATAAATGGCGGGCATGACTCCTTTTTGACAAGTTTTGACAGTGTTGTTCTTTTGTTTGGAACTTGTCCAGCCTTCATCCTAGATGAAGATACAACACACATTGGCTGGAACACATGTCGTCCAAGAAACCTCCGCCCCAATCCGCCCCAATGGACCGTTTGCCTCTCGGCAGCCCTTCGAAGAAGCGGAGTGGTTCCGAATTGTTGGGGAACTTAGCTGTGAACACGGTGGGATGAGCATCCCCATGGTGGGTGGTGGGATGATTGCAGTGTTTCCACCCAATTTCCACGAGCCAAAGAGACGAAACAGGACGAACATATTGGCTTTATGGATCCAAGTCCCAGATATTTGATGCTATTTGCATGAGGTTGCAGAATAACGTCCTTCTCAGCCCTTGACCTCCGAAATATGTTTGCATTTGACCTTCTATAAGATAATATTCCAAAAATACATCCAACACATATTCCCTCAGAATGTTGACTCATAGGACTCACAACAACTCCCCAAATGATCCTACGCCCCACCGTTGCTCGAGTTGCTCGCCGAGAACCTTGGAGAGCACCGCACCAAACCGGTGGCCGTCCACGAGACCTTTGAGCTTTCGAAGGTTCTGCTGGGGGATCTTTGGATCCACGGAGGCTTAACCGGGGGTTACCCGGCCTGGTAAACGTTTACAAAAAACTATGGAACAATCCACCCATTTTTCATGGGAAAATCCACTATAAATGGCCATGTTCAATAGCTATTTTGACATAACCAGAGGGTAATATCCCATGAATATCCCATTGAATCACTATAAAATCCCATTAAATCACAATAAATCCCATTAAATCATTGAGCCAACCCCAGATACTAACCACCTACTAAGTTACGGTCCATGGGATGATCTTCGCAGGTGCCGCATCACCGGCGCTACACCCAGACCCCTTTCGACTCGCAGCATATGTTGCTGGGTCAAAACTACGACTTCGGACCGAAGCCCGGGGATCCCAGGGGATATGTCGTTGGGGGCTTATAAGGCGCTGGGCGCCTGGAGTTCCGAGATCTATTTTTTGTGACTTGAGAGAGGTTGGATCTTCGTTATATCAGTTATTATAGATTTAAAATAGATGTTATTATTTCTGCTGGATGCATGGTAGTTTTGAGCTTTCTTACTGTTCAGTCCTCAAAATCGGGTGATGCCAATTGGTTCGTGTATTGCTGGGTGGTTTACATTGGCCAGAGATCGAACAATGCTCGTAGTTGTGGCAGTGGTTAAAAGCCTTCATGAATGCGTTTGGCTGTTGGAAAGAGCTAACTTTCTTTGAGTTCAATGAGCGTCAGCGCGATACTATCAAGTAAATGTTAATGACTGGGCCAGGGCTTAGATTTCTCAGCCGTTTGTCATTCACCCTCCAGGGGTCCCTTCGAAGCTACACGCCGCGGGGTTTCAGACAGGTCCGGCTTCGAAAGTGTGCACTACCACGGTCGCGCTCCTGGTGAAGGAGTTGAGGTGCCACCGATGGGGCAAGTGATGGGGGTTGCATATAGATGGCTTCTCATTGAGTGGTTGTTGGCTTGAGACATGGTAACTGCTAGCTCAAATCGATTTATAGTCCAGCTTGCTGCAAGGTTTCATATGTTCTTGCTGCATTTGGACTGATTCGGAGCCCAAGCAGCTCGATAAGTCACAGAAAGCGGCTCCATAAGTCACAGAAAGCCTGGTTGGACAAGTTATAGTGCAAACCTCTATCCGATACTATCCTGGTCTTGAATGCTTTCAAGTCATATTTCCTGCACATTTCTTGGGGCACCAGGATCAGTACCTTGAGCCGAACGTCAAGGAAATGGAGGCCCGGCATGGCATATCGTTGGAGACCTGGGCGAGGCTCGATATTTTTGACAAGGAACACAAAGGAAGTGAATCCACACA